AAAAAGATTTAAAAAAATATATTAATACTTACTATATATATTAAATAATAAAGCCTTATTATTATAAACTTTATAGGGAATTAGTAATATTATTTATATTAATATAATTATAAAAAAAGCTTTTAATAAACTTTATTATAGGGCTTCTAAAGATTATAAAAAGAGGAAAAACCTATAACTTAATACTTATTATTATTAATAAATTTATAAAATATATATTATACCTCTTATACTTATAGTAAATAATTATAAATAGCTTAGTTAATAAGTTCCTTTATTATATTTTTAAGCCCTATAGAATTCCTAAAGGAATAGTATTAAATTAAAAAAGCCTTTTTACTAATATATTTTAAAAAACCTTCTATTACCTACTAAGTTATAAAAAAAGACTTAGTACTACCTTTTACCCTTAGATAAATAACTAAATAAAGTAGTAAAATTAAAACCTTAAATATTATCTTAAGGCCTTTTATAATAAAAATTAGCTTAACTAGCTATATAAGCTCCTGCTTATAAAGTTTATATATAATATAGTAAAATACTTAGTAACTAAGTAAATATTAATATACTTACTATTAAACTATAAACCTAACCCCTTTTTTATTAATAATAATAATTTATAATATATAAATAAAAATATTATTAATTAAGTTAATAAAATAATTAAAAATTAAAAAAATATAACTACTATTTTATAATACTTTAGTAACTTATATTATAAATAGTATAATAAAGGAAGGTAAAGGAAAGTATTTAATATAGGAGATTAAGTATTAGTATTAATTAAAAACTTTAGACTTAGGAAATTAAGCTAAAAGTTAATATTTAAATATATAAGACTTTACTAAATTAATAAAGTTATTAATATAAGTAGCCTTACTTATTAATTAAAACTTTTAACCTTAATTAAAATATACTTAATATTTAATATTATAGTTTTTAAGGAATTTAAAAGTAAAAATAAAGTTTTTAAAGAGCTAGAGAATAACCCCTTTATATTAAAAAAGATATATAATATTAAGAAAATTATAAAATATAAAAAAAAAGAAAGGGGCTATATTTACTATATAAAATAAAAGGGCTATAGTAAAGAATATAATTCCTAGGTATTAAGAAAGGATTTTATAAATTAGAATTTTATAAAGGAATATAAAAATAACCTTTAATAAAACTTTATAAAATCCTAAAGTATAAATAATACCTTAGCTATATTAAAAGTAGTTTAAATAATAAAAAGCTTAGTAAGTATAATATATAAGTATTAGCTTAAAGGTCTTATATAAATATATAAGATTTACTATAGAAAGTAAGGAAAAACTTATAAGCTCCCTAAGGTAGTTAAAATAGTAAGAAGCTTAGTAAATATAATTTATAAAGGTATATAACTAAGGTAAGGACTAATTTAAAGGGCTTATATAAATATATAAGATTTATAGTAAAAAATAAAGTAAGGAAAAACCCATAAGGTTCCTAAAGTAGCTTAAATAATAAGAAGCTTAGTAAATATAATCTATAAATAGTAATATAGCTAAGGTAAGGACTAGCTTAAAGGACTTACTTAGATATATAAAATCTACTATAAGAGATAAAGTAAGAAAGAATTTATAAAATCCCTAAAGCTGCTAAAATAGTAAAAAGCTTAGTAAGTATAAGTTATAATAGTTAATAATATAATATATAAATACTAGCTTAAAGGGCTTATATAAATATATAAAACCTATTATAAAAGATAAAGTAAGAAAGAACTTATAAGCTTTCTAAAGCTATTAAGATAATAAAAAGCTTAGTAAATATAAGTTATAATAGTTAGCAGTATAATATATAAGTACTAGCTTAAAGAACTTACTTAAATATATAAGATCTACTTATAAAGCCTATTATAGTAAGAGATAAAGTAAGAAAAAAGCTATAAGGGCCCTAAAGTAGCTTAAATAATAAAAAGCTTAGTAAATATAATTTATAATAATATATAATATAATATATAAGTATTAGCTTAAAGGACTTACTTAAATATATAAGATTTATTTATAAAGCTTTAGTAATAAAAAAAAGTAAAAAAAAGCTAGGGAAAACCCTAAGTAAGAATATAAATTTTATAAAAAGGGAAAACCTTATAAAAATATAAGAAATTCCTTATTTATATTTATTTATTTTTTACTACTTTTTTTTAATTTCTTTTACTTTTATTTACTTTTTTTAATTTCTTTTACTTTTTCTTAATCTTTTTTACTTTCCCTTACTAAAGTTATTAATAAATATTATAATTACTAAATATTATATTAAAATATTATAAAAGCAAAGGGGTTATAAAATATATTTTACTTATTAATATTACTTATAGTAGTATTATTAATAATAAGGGTTATCTTAGCCTATAATATATTAGCCTAGGAATTAAAGTAATCTTAAGTTATAGTAATAGAAATAATACCTTAAGCTTAGCTAGGTATAAGCTAGAATTATAAAAAAAGTTAGTAAAAGGTAATTTAATAAAATTAAAGGAAATAAACTAAAATATAAAATATAAGCGTAGCCTAGAGGTTATATAATAAATTTATAATATTTAGTTAAACCTAGGTATTTATAATTTTATAAATATAGTATAAATAAGGTTATTATATTACTGCTATAATATAGGTTTAATAAGTAAGAGTTATTAAAATAAGACTTAGCCTTATTTTATTATAAGCTTTTTTATAATTTACTTAAAGTATAATAATATAGGCCTAGGTATATATTAGTATTTACTACACAGCTATTATAAAATTAACTTACTAAGTTAGGGTTATTAAATTTAATTTTATTAATTAGGTTTATATATATAGCCTTATTAATAACTAATATAAAAATATAAGTATTATTATAATTATTATAATAAAAGTATTTATTATTATTATTTAAAAAAAAGTAAGTAAAATTTTAGTAAAATAAACTTAAAGAATAAGGCTATATACTTAATATATTATAATAATATTTTATAATATTACTTAGTTTTTAATAATTATAATAATATATATAATATTTATAAATATAAGGCTTATATTAGGTTTTAGTAAAAAAAAAGGGGGCTAGGATAAAGTATAATTTACTTATTAGCCCTTAGTAGTATAATAGGGGAAGGCGTAAGTATAAGTATAGCTACGGCTGTAGTTATTATTATAGTATTTAGTACTAGCTTTTAATAAAGTATAATTAAAAGGAATATTATAGTAGAATTATTAATAAAGGAGGAAGAATATAATTATAATAATAGTAATTAAGGACCCTATAAAAAAAAAAAAAAAAATACCTTCTTTTATAATTTAAGTATTATAATTAATAATTATAAACCTGCTTTATAAAATTATTATTATAAAAGGTAAGTTACTTTATAATAAATAGCCTTTATATAGCCTTTTACTTTTATTTACTTAGGGATTATATTTTTTATTATTATAATACTAAATAAAGGTTTTTTATTTATAGCTAAATCCTACTATAGCTTATATAATAAGGAGTTAGGGCTAATATTTTAATAATACTTTATAAAAAAGTATAAAAAAAAATTATAAAGAATTATATAAGGGTATACTTTAAAAAAGGAAAGGCAGTTTATTAAGGGTTTAAAAAAGAAAAAGGTATAATAAAGTTATAAAGCTAGTAAATATTACTAAAGTTACTGCTTAAAAGCTAATTATAGCTAGGATTTACTATATAAAGGAGTATAAATCCCCTTAGTTTTAGAGGAGGTTAGAGATAAATATAATTATTATATACCTCCTAGCTGCTTTATCCCTTTATAATAACTAGAACCTCTCCTTAACTCTATTACTCTCTTATACGCCGCTGTCTCTGACACCACGGAGTTGCCCGTCGTCTCTCGGTACAACACAACGTGGAATACTTTGGTGTAATGTTCAAGGGATTCTATTCAAGATCTCTTCCTTGGATATGTATAATGGGCGGGCAGGAAGAAGATGGGCATATCCGAAAGGAGTTTCCTAGCTGGTCCTGGGCTTCAGCCAAGGACTTCCGTTACGACGTAAACTACTTTGTAAGTGACGCTTCTTCGAGGATCAAAGATCTCATTCGATATGCCGACCCGGGACGGCCTACATCTCTTGACGAAATCATCGACTTTGGAGACCGTTCTAAGCGAAAGCTTGTGTTGCGAGGTCCTTTGGTTTCGGTGAAATTGAAACCACATGACTTTTTTCAGCGACAAGTCTCGAAATCAAATGATGATTTCCGTCGGGCCTCATATGATTTCCACCGGGCCATCAACGGCCCAATCTGGAAAGGACAGGAAATCGATTGTCATACGGATTGTAAAAGGAAATCTTCGGAATTATGGGCAGCGACTCTCCTCCTATGCAATAAAGAAGTCATGAAAGAGGGGGTACTCGTGTCAAGCAGGGCAGTCTGCTACAGGGGTCTGGTATTGGGGAGATCAGAGGAAGACGGGCCAGATGCGTTCGTGCGACTGGGTCATTTCTCGGCTATCATTCCGTGGTCAGAGGAGGAGGAGGGGGGAGGTTATCTTGATGACTGGGGGAAAGAAGTTTGTTTATTTTAGTTTCCAATTTCATCCTATTATATTAGACGTGATAAAAGTTCTCTTACAGAGTGTTTAAAACCTTTTAATCGTACCAATGTACCTACAGTAAGAAGCCTAGAAAACTAGGCGCATTAGGACACCCCATACTCGGCAGATTCGAGAGATGTTTGTAGCTACATATACAATTATAGTATACGAATTCTTTATCTATTAATGTTGTTTTCCAATTGATTACATTAATTGTACGTCCCATGTACATAGGTAATCCTTTCTTGTCACTTCCATTTGCATTGTGACAAATGAACAGTCTCGTAGATCATCAGTGGTCACTTTATGAAGAAAGAACTTTTATTCATATATACTATACAAAAGATCAAAGCAAGCAAGCATATGCCTCATCGCACCTCCGTCAACAAAGGTATCGACAAACTATAAGAAGGATCGCATTACATGTCAAGGCATCCTAAGAAGAGTCCCCCTTATCATCTTCATGCCACTTTCGCCGCGCTTTCCCCGGATCACGCAGATGCCGATGCTTCATATCCAAGTAAAAAGGATGCATCGGCCCACAAACCTCTCGAACAAGATAATCCCAAATGAGGTCGTCTGGGGAGCGACAAGGTCCGAGGCAGTGATATGTGCAGACCTTCAACCTCCACTCTTTTGTTGCCTCATCTCTTTGCAGCGAGATGTCATAATCGGTGTAGCAGTACTTGCATGAACCGCTTTGTTGGAAATGGTGATTCTGATTCCAGTCCTTGTGGCAAATGCTCCGATCGTTGTAACACCGAGCGATATAAATATGGCAATACGTGTGTGTTTCCGTAATGCATCTCAGGTGGCAGCAAATGGGCAAGTGAATGCTTTCCAAGAGTCTCGCCAAGTGCTCCCAGGCCACCACCGGCCCCTCTACCGTGTGAGTTCGAGCCATGTAGAGCTCATTGTCGATAATCTTGGGTACGGAGTCAAAAGAAAATCTCCAGGGGGTTTGAAAAGCCTTTGCCTTGGATCCCCGTCGTGGCTTGAAATCAAAGACAGTCCGTTTGCAAGCTTTCGATACCTTCAAAGCTTTTCTCAGGTCATCATCCCAGTCATCTCGATCATTGATAGCAGTCCTGTTCAAGACGATGAATTTTTCGAACTTGAGGTGTCGTTCAAGTGTCGAAAGGGGAAGCCCATGAGACTCGCCATAAAAGTGTCTGTCCATGGCCAAGTATGCTTCCATGAAATAAAGGTGTGCTTCTTCATGGACGGGATGCCAGAGTAATGCCATCAGCTTGAAGTTTCGTTTGTTGACCAAGTCCCAATCGCCATCCAAACTCGACTTGACATGATCATGGCCACCAACTTGGCCCTCCCAGTTCTGGTCCTGGTTCAACGGACACAGTTTCTGGCGCCAAAAACAAAAGTATACTTTGGGCAGATCTCTCTGCAACATGAACAACATTGCCGAAGTTTCCTTTTCATCGGGGACATTTGATGTCAGAAGATGGAAAGTAGCATAAAAGCCCTTGCAGGTAAGGGCTAGAGAAAGACGTGAAGGCATTGGGAGATGGTCCATTATCATGAGCAACATCTCCGGTGGGATGTCTGCGATGACACATGGCGCTGTCCTTGGCGACATATCCAGATAAGAGTGCGGCATCTGGTAAATCTCTCCGGGAGCCCTTGCCGGTTCTTGTCGTCGAGGTCTATACTGTATAGTTCGAGTGCGTGCCATTGTGAATATTGGATTGAAGTAGATGTCAATCGTGAATTAGGTCAAAAGAGATATCAATTGTGAGCCGGGTCAAAGTAGATTTGAATTGAGAGCTGGGTCAAAGTTGATTTGAACTGAGAGCTGGGTCAAAGTAGATTTGAATTGGGCCTTTATTCACGTGGGATACTGGAATATTGTGCGTGGAAGATGATTCGAATCACAATTCTAGGGGCAAGGTACCTGATTTATAGTCAAACAAACGCAGGAAGAATTAGCATTCAGCGTCCAAAGCTATAGATACACAATAAACAGTAAACAAGACGTGTTGCTCAGCAACTTCGAAGAATAAGATATCCATGGGATATAAAATTCGACGATGGCTTCATGTCTGGCGGATTCAAAGTATAAGACTTGGACGGTGATTGGTCGAGGGATATCGCGGGGGAAATCCGGGGTGGTGGCGTCCCCTTTACAACACCGATTGACTTCCATAACCAAGCCACAGACAACTTTCTACTAGATAATGGAAGATTGGCTTTTACAGAAAACTCAACTGGGGACGTTGTCGAGGTAACAGTGAGTATAAGAGCGCCTTGCGAGAGTATATCTGTATGATAAGGCATGGGCGTGTGCATAGAGTATGCGGGCGAGCGGACAGTAAAGAGCACAGTATAAGAAAGACTTGAATGATGATAGAAACTGGGTAGGAAAATGAATATTTCAATGCTTACCATAGGTATGATATGGACAGCTCGAGTATGGTCTAAGCACCTCTGTTCATACAAGAAACAGTGCGTTGTTGATATCGCCACAGTACGGACAGCTGCTCGGAGGATTTGCCCGATCTCCCGGCTTCACCAGATCCACAATATATCGTCCAATATCATATCAGATCGTGCTCGGCTTCACGACAGTGAAACTCGAGCAATTGGCAGCCGACACGGCGTGACTTGCGCCAATCATGTCTGCCTCACTGCTGCGGTCGCGTCTCGCCGCTACCACCAGCCTCAAGTCCGTCCCCCGATCATCACGTCTCCCGCAAAACTCTCTCAGAACTGCGGTCCCTCGTCGCTATAATTCGAGCTCAGCCGGCAGCTCTAACGGCGGATTCAAGGCCGCGGCTTACAGCACTGCGCTGGCGGCTGCTCTCTACGCCTCCTACTACTACACGACCGACACGCGAGCCTTTGTCCACCGATATGTCGTCCCGCCGCTGCTGCGAACCGTCGTGCCCGATGCCGAAGATGCGCACCATTTGGGCGTTTCGGCGCTGAAGCTGCTCTACGAAGTCGGCTTGAACCCCCGAGAGCGTGACGCCGCCGCCAACAGCTCCAGCCTCTCGGCCTCCGTCTTTGACCACCAATTGGCGAACCCGATCGGCATCTCGGCCGGTCTGGACAAGGACGGCGAGGTTCCCGATGCGCTGTTTGCGCTCGGAGCCGGCGTTGTCGAGGTCGGTGGCTGCACGCCGCTGCCGCAAGAGGGAAACCCCAAGCCCCGAGTCTTTCGCGTGCCAATTCTCGACGGCATGGTCAACCGATATGGCCTCAACTCAAAGGGAGCCGACGACATGGCGATCCGCCTGCGCGACCGGCTCCGACGATTTGCGCGCTCAATAGGAGTCACCGAGGAGGAAATCATCAGTGGAGAGGCCGGTGTCCCCGTGGGAAGCTTGAAGCCTGGGCGCATACTCGCCGTGCAAATCGCAAAGAACAAGGAGACCAACGAGAAGGACGAGCAGGCCGTCGCCTCCGACTATGTCTACTGCACGCGGCGATTGGCCCGCTACGCCGATGTCCTGGTCGTCAACGTCAGCAGCCCCAACACGCCAGGCCTCCGAGACCTTCAAGCCGCAGAGCCCTTGACACGGCTCCTCGCAGCCGTTGTCGACGAGGCATCTCGAACAGACAGAAAAGTGCGCCCCAAGGTCATGGTCAAAGTCTCCCCCGACGAAGACGAAGATTCGCAAATGGAGGGCATTGTCCAGGCCGTGCACAAGAGCGGCGTCGACGGCATCATTGTTGGAAACACCACCAAGCGGAGAACCGGCCTCAACCCCAAGGGAGCCAAGCTCTCAGTCAGGGAGCAAAAGGCGCTGATGGAGACGGGCGGCTACTCTGGCCCTGCCATGTTCGACCGAACACTGCATCTCGTCGGCCGATACCGCAAGATGCTCGACTCACAGCCCGGCGATGGCAAGGGTGAGCAAAAGGTGCTTTTTGCAACTGGAGGCATCACGAATGGAGAGCAGGCGTTGAAGGTGCTGAATGCTGGTGCGAGCGTAGCGATGGTGTACACGGGATTGGTTTATGGAGGAGTTGGGACGGTTACAAGGATGAAAAAGGAGATGCGTGATGCTTTATAGAGGCGTGATTTTAGGAGATGCAACGGAAGGATTTCCATGAGCGTCTTAGAGGTGTTGAAAGGAGATATGTGATATACTACTACCTTTGTATTTATAACGAAAAAGTCGGATAGCAACGTTGTGTCAATGCCAGTGTATAGACGGACATATGAATTTCTTTTACAGCAATTTGTTGAGCACGGCGTCCGTCTTGTATTCTTTTCACTTGTAATGTTTTAGACCCTCTTGTATAATAGCAGCAGTATGTACGTGGTGTTTACAGCAACCAACAAACTCTACACAACCACCAAATTCCTATCAACCACACTATTTATTCAGTTGAATTAACTTCTAATTCATCATCCGAGTTATCTATTCTATAGTCGTATCCTCTCCTCTTCTCTTTAAACAAGACTCAGATTGTAGCAACAAAATGCAGGGTAATTGAAACAAGAATCGCCGCTAGCCCCAAACAGGCAAGGCACAGGTACAAGCAAAGATACGCCACATGCCCCCACTAAAAAGTTCAAATCGATATCGATTTCTCCAGGCTTTTGAATTTTACCATCTCCAAGCAAATCCGCCAGCTGCAGCTCACCAGCCCATCATGGCCGCCGCAACGACTCTTCCCGCCCTGCTGGCGTCTCTGACACAGTCGCTGTCTCTGGCTCAAGAGGGAACCTCGAAAATCTCAACCATTGACCACCCCAAGGATGGAATCTCGCTCCTCGACGTCAAGAACGAGCTGCTGCTCTCGTACCTCCAGAACCTCGTCTTCCTCATCCTCGTCAAGCTACGAAACGCAAAGTCAGATGGAAAGGACGCTTCAAAAGAAGAGGACCACGGCTTAGACGACGCCGTGCGAACAAAACTTGTCGAGCTACGTCTGTTTCTCGAAAAGGGAGCCCGACCATTGGAAGAGAAGCTGCGGTTCTCCATCGACAGATTTCTTCGGACGGCGGAAGATGCGCAGCGACGCGAGAAGATGAAGGAGGCCAAGGCCAGCGCAAAGACTGGGTCTAGCACGGACGAGTCGGGCTCAGGCTCTGAAGATGACGACGAGGATGACGACGAAGAGGACGATTCCGAGGCCGAAGACGGTCACTCCAGGCCCCAGCCCAAGCGAGGCCATCTCTCTGCCGCGCCCAACATGGGCTCTCTCATGGACGACGTCGCCATCCGTCCTGCCAAGCGCGATCAAAATGACGATGCTCCCGCCGGCGTATACCGACCCCCTCGCCGCGAGCGCCAAGTCATGGAAACGACCCAAACCCGCGAAAAGGCTGCCCGCCGCCCTATGCGCTCACACACCATGGAGGAGTTCGTCGCCTCTGAGCTTTCATCCGCACCCATGGCCGAGCCCAGCATCGGCACGACCATCGTCCAGGGCGGCCGCAGAATGAAGACAACCCAGGAGCGCAAGGACGAGCAGGAGCGCACCGAATACGAAGAAACCAACTTTACCCGTCTGCCCCAGGAGAGCAAGAAGGAGCGCGCCAAAAAGGCCAAGCAGGCCGGCCGCAGCGGGCGAATGCAGTTTGGCGGCGAGGAGTGGCATAATCTCGGCGAGGGCGTTGATCGCATCGATCGGTTGACCAAGCGAAAGGAGGGCGGCGCAGGATCTGGCGTCAGAGCCATGCTGGAGAAGAGCCGGAAGCGTGGAGGCGATACGGAGGATGGACCGAGAGGGAGCGGACACCAGATGGGAGAGAGATTCCACAAGAAGGCCAGGCTGATGGAGATTGGACGGGGAAGCAGAGGGAAGGGGAGGAAATAGATTTTGGAATAGCACGATGCTGGGTTGCGCTCATCTACGGCGTTTTTGGCTTGTTAAAAAAGTTGTATACAGTGATGTTATATTATAATTAAGCATATATGAGTAATGTCTTGAAGAATGTACAGTGAACCTATATCCAGAAACGAATGATATCATGACGCCCAAAACACCTCTCATGCAAACATAACACATACCCTCGTCCCGTATTCGTACAATCTCCTCAATTCCCCCTTTCATTCCTAAACAACTCCTTCTCCAGAAACTTGGGACAAATCATCTCCCACTTCTCCATCGTCCCGCGATCCGTCGGAATGCCCTCCGCCAACTGCGCGATGCCCTCCTTGCGCCTCTCCTCAAACAGCGGCTTCGCTCTCCTGTACCACCACGTCTGACTCCACTGCCTCTCCCGCTGGTACTTTTCCACCGAGTTGTGATGGATCATGACGGGCACCGTGCCGATGCAAATCTCCGTGTACAGCGGCATCGCCGCCCACATATCCGGCATGCTTCCTCTCATCCATGGCAGAGGCCGGTCGCTGGGTAAGTCGTTTGGTAAGGACATCATTTCGGTTTTGGGAACGCAGTCGAATTTCCCGGTTTTGCCCATTTGCTGCTTCACGGGGAGGTTGTGTCGGATATACCGTGCATCAGTCACGGCGTTGGACGTCTGATGACCCAACAGAGACCAGTAATCCAGAGCAATGCCGAATTCATAGGGCTTGTTGGGAAGATGCGTCTTGTTGTACTGCTGATGAGTGAAAGCCGGTTCCAGACGATCCAGCACGGGGACCTGCTGGACATCGGTAGGAGGCGGCCTTGATCCAGCTCGTCCGGGGACGACTCGATCAAGCACATCGTCAACACGGGTGCGATGGTGTCGCCTCATGACTTCGCGATAATACTCTTGTTCTCCAAACATCTCGACAAAGATGCTCTGGTCGCTTCCATGGTAACACGCATCCGACGCTCCCGTTCCGTCATCAAACGAAGCGCCCTTTCGGTTCTGACATTCTTCCAGTTTCTCCAGAGCTCTCTCCAACACGCGACGCACTTCTCCCACCGGCCCAATGATGAATCCGGAGTTGAGATAGCGAGTTCGGTAGCTACTCCACTGGCTGGTTCCGATAAAAGTATCCGTGTTTCCGCCATAAAGATCGTCTGGGAGTGGTGATTCCGGGACGGGATAGCAGGCCACCGAGTTGAGCAGATTCGGTGCGCAGCGTTTGCCTGCCCCAAAGACAACTCGTGAACTGATGCCCTCCACGGTATAAGCTCGACCCATGCGGTGAGAAACTCGTGCGGCATCGTCCTCGAGAATGGCGTTGTAGCGAGATAAGAGCACGTCGACAGGGAGCTGGAACCAAATGTCGTATGCATCGAGCATCATGACGAGCTCATCATCGAAGCCGGGCTGGTTGCGACGCTTAGGGTCATTGATGTAATCCAGAGTACGTCTGATTTTGGCAAAATGCGAACCGCCTCCAAGAAGCCCACTGGCGCGGTCTTGGTCTGCCCAAGCGATAATCGTCGGGCTGGGATAGCCTAGGAGGATCATGGTGAGGAGTGTCTTGCAGAAATTGATGTTGCTTCTTGTGGCGGGTAAAAGAATGTGAATCTTGTGCTCTGTTGTGTTGGAGGCGGTTGCAGTCTGGTTACTCGGAGGCTGGGAAATGCGACTGGTTGTCCATGGCTGTTTCAGCGTTTCCGAAGTTTGATGCTGGACAGTGTACTTTTCATTGTGTGAGTTGATTTACTAATAACATCGAGTTGTCAAGAAGACAACTTGAAGAGTTCAATCCACTTACGGGTGCGAGTATGTACAAGGCTAGAGTGCTAAAGACAAAAGCGATGCCGACTAGCGAAATGGGACGCCGGGCCCGGCTTGAGAAGAATTGCAACATGGTGGAAAAACGTAAACTTTTGCCCAGGGAATTAAAGGAGAGTAATGGGCACAGTTTGATGACTTGTTTTGCGTAAAACTTGCAGATATGAGTGACGGAGTTCAACAAGAAAAGAGAGAGTGAAAGGTGCGCGACTTGATCGCCTCAGTTAACGAGTTTGCCCCTGATTCTCAAGCGCAAGAGCATATGCCCTCAATCACCTCTCACAACTCAACAAACAGACACACAGCAAAGGAGCGACGGACAATACAAGAGAAGGTAAAAGTAAGACAAGAGGAAAAGAAAAGAAAAGAAAAGAAGAATAGCAGCTCATCATAATCTCTGGAACACGCCCAGCACGCGTCCCCACATGATTAACTGCTTGGTGTTGCGGCTACCAAGCGATAGCGCAGGGGCGCGTTCAGCCGCAGATGCAAATCCTCCTTTCCCCAGGAACAAGAGGCGTTCTAGTGTAAGCTGATAAGCCAGGGAGCCGGTGTTGCCGCTGCCAAGATGTTAAGCAGACTATTGTTTAGTATTGCTTTTCTATGATGTGAGCGCTGCCAAGTCCTAAACTCTCAACGCATAGATTATGGGGTTGTCAAAAGATATGTCAAAATAGAGTAAGTCTTCCAGAACAAGACCCCTGGATTTTGGTGAGCCATCTATCGCCGTGTCATACAAGTGCCCGCCGCGGCCGTCAGAATTTAGTCCAATATCTCCCATGTCTAAGCTTGTGCGTTGAGTGGTCATGATGAGCAAATATGAAAAGGAACGGAAATTTGGCGTGGTGCACGATTGGCCGTTAGTGTTGTGATGCCCCCTGTCAGATTATTGAACAAACATGGCGCCACGGCTTTCAGCTTGGCCCAAATCAGGGCTCTAAGCGATTTTTAGTATCAATCTTCAAGCGGGAGAGAGATTCACAACTAGGACTTTTAACACTGGGGAGGATCTCTTCATCATTCTCAATCGCTCTGTTGTCATCCGCCAGATGTAATCGCAGTGTCCGTACCGGTGTATACGTGTATACAGGCAAGATACGACATGCCAATACCAGGTTTGAGGTTGGATTATCTACTTCTTCCGGCATCTTTTATAGACGTCATCCTGTAGGAATGAGAAGGTTGAGGATGAGAAAACGGAGCGCATGCAACAAGGATGGCTGATATAAACAAGTGCATTCTGATGTGCTGCTACATCAACTCTTCTTCGGGGGAGTTAAAAGTGCTGTGAAAATGAAATGGATGTCCCCTGACTCATTGGCCAGCCGGAGGAACTCTGTAATGTTACGGAGCCAACCAGGCAACCCTGTTTTGCCTGGTCTAACCTTCAGAGTCTTTGCTCCTCCTCTCTTGCGCTGTATAAGCCACTGTTCGATGGCGCCCGATTTTGACGGGATGGTAGATTCTCTAGAACAAGAGTTGCCGGCATCTATATAAATCCATCCCACCCAACCATGCGAGGCTATCTCAATCTGCCATTTAATCCATAGGTGTCGGGTTACTTAACCACGTACGGATCTTGTCGAGAGCAAACGTATCATGGTGCATCTCTGACGTTGTATAGTCCTTCATCTCGCAATCAATCCAGCCCATCGTACCACGGCTAGTTGACAACTTCTCCCCGATTCTCCGACACGAGCCAAAGTCGATCAGAATGGGCCTACCGTCCTCTGCCACAAGGACGTTTGCGGGGTGCAGGTCGTTATGGGCCCAGCCAAGCGCGTGCAAGTGAGAAACTGCCGCGTGCAGTGATTCCATGAAGAGATCTTCATCTTGAATGGTTTGGCCACTCTTTATGAAATCGTTCAAGTCGTAGGGGTGTCGGTCCAGGACAAGCCCAGTGATGTATCCACGCCGAACATGGCAACCATGATATCCAACAATATTCGGGTGAGGCTGGCTCCTTAGCACTTCCATGGCTTCTGCCTCCTCTACCAATCCCTCGCGGAGGAGATGCGCAGCCTCACGCTTTGAAAAAAAGCCATACAGTTCTATTTGAGGCCGTTTGATGAAAATGGCTGGAGGGAGCTCTTGAGGAGCCTTGGTTGTGGTGAGGGCTTGGGGCCACGGTGGGAAGATTTCGTCGTCAGGAAGTCGAGTGAGGGAGGTGGTGATTTCTTGAAACGTGATGTCTGTCTTTGGTTTGCTTATCTCGCAGTAGAATATCTTGTCATCGTCCACCTTTGCGATTTGGGTATGTTTGAAGTCTTCAGTTTCGTCGTCAAACACTTCATATACCCAAAGTAACTCTTCCCAGCTGGTAATCTCAGGCGCCATGGCGAATGAATCTGGAACAATCGAGTTCTGGTGAAGAAGAAGAAGAAAAGAGCGGTCTGCGGTGGATTTTAATCCAACCCAAGGCCTGCATAGGTGTTCTTATGCCGCATTGACGCGATCGCGATGCACGATCCTCATTTTGCATTCCAACGCCTCAGAGTACGAATACTACGAAACTTACAACGATGTTAGATCCATTCAAATCATAAAAAGCATTCCATTCTCTCATTACCAGCACAAAGGAGAATGCTTCTACCTACATAGTAACCATTGCCCTTACAGCACGCCATGTCCCACCGAAAGGAAGAGATCAGGGTTAAAGTTGCTGTGAAATTCATGTTACATCATTTAACATAACTGTGACTGGTTGGATATACAATCCACAGTTTCACAGTATTTTGAACCCTCCTCGAGAGGCTTTGTTGAACTAAGGGAAATCCCTAGGACGCGCGGGACACTTGATCGAGCTGTTACCTACATATTGTAACGCAGCATTACTACACTGCAAGCCGCTCTTCCCCGGACCATAGTTTCCGTCTCACTCGATGTAAGACTGCGCCGCTCCGTGACGCGACCTTTTGAGTTTGATAACCTTGCTCATACCGCCGAGTAGACCTTGAGAGAGCTTCCATCAACCCAAAGGAAACCCAACTACAAGGGCAACCCCAAGTGTGTTGAGTATTGCGGAACCGCGGTAAAGTGGTATTGGGAACAAGCGTATGCTGGGATCCTTCTATACTACACGGCTGCTGATAAGGGAGCATACATTGACAACCGTAGGCTATTCTCACCTCGTGCTGACACGTCGCGCATATGGGTTATAGGGTCGGCAATGGAGAGCGGCACTCAATCGAATTTTGTCAATAGAGATCAGGTTGGTTATCTCTTTCCAGGCGAGCACATTCCCGGAACGGATGATCGAGGCAGTTCTGTCGCTACAGCCGTTTCATCTAGATTTGCGACTCTTATTTTATGAAGCGTGAAATGTCGTTACCCTGATAAGATGCTAGACCAAGATCAAACGCGAGATATCTTTGATGATCTTAAGCATAAAAACACTTATATTCTAGCTCGTCACGTCACCTAAGCTTTTCTGATCACTCTTCTCCGCATAAGATAGCTCAGTGATTCAAGGGCCCTGTTAGCTCTGGCTATTGCTGTATCTTTGTTAGGCTTGTTTGATAACTTTTGCTCCAGCGATACGATCTTGAACTCAGAGTGTATGTCAACCACATCTAGCTCATGACTCTTGTCGCCAAATGGTAGTCTTGAGTATATCTCAGCTAAGAATGTGCGCCACATTTCAGACGTAAAGTGCGGTGCTTTAGGTGACGAAACTCCGAATCAGTAAAATGCCTGGTAAGTAATACACGTTGTATAGTACTATGACCAATGTGGAAATTGTTTTTGGGACTTTATAAAAGAAATCAATTGGCTCTACATGGTCGGGCCAATTTACAACGCAATATCATGTGTCAATGGGAATGTTTGACAATTACCATTTCGGGTGACTTCCTTAGGAAGTCGTCGTTTCACAGCATTTTTAACTCCCCTCAAGAGGCTCAGTGAAGCTAGTCCCGATTCTTCAGCACAGATGCAGGGCCCCCGATAAGCGCCGATAAGAGCTGCCGCCAGGAATTTTCTCCAAAGACACCCCACCTCCAACTCACAGCCAACGACTCATCACCAGCCATCATCACAACGCTTCATACACACATCATTTCCTCTCATAAATCTCTTTTACTCATAATACTATCCAATTCCAAGATCCTCACATCATATCCACCCAATTGAACCCCCCCTCCTCCATCAAAGCAACCACCATGGCCAACATAGACCCCGACCTCATGGACATTGTCAACGACAACCCCAACCTCGACGCTGCCGACGACGACGACCCCATCACCGCAAGCTACCAAGTCTTCCTCAACCCAGCCCTCCCCCTCGGCCGCCGCCTCCTCGTCCTCCAGCACCCCAACCGCACCGACAGCACGCCTCGCCCGCCCCCCACCGAGCTGCGCCTCAAGGAACACTCGGGCATGGTCGAGATCGACATGCCCATGGACAACACCACCGCCTACGACCGCGAAAAAGGCCTCCGCTGGGGCCGCACGCTGCAAAACTCCATGGCCGTCAAGAATGGCGGCAGCCACGGTCTGGCCGGAGGTTTCGGCGTCGGTGCCGTCCAGCAGCGCGCCCCCAGAAAAAAGGGCGACGTCGAAGAGGACGAAAACCTCGACTGGAACGACGCCGTGCGCCAGGGTAAAGTCCTCAGCACGCAGACCCTGGGCGGCCAGTATCCCGATACCGACGAAGTCCAGTACATGGTCGGCGTCTTTCAGGGCAGTACGTTTCAAACACCATCCCTCCCTCAGGATATAAGATTCCCACTAACAAAAATCCTCCCCAAACAGAGGACCTCCATCTCACCCCCGTCTCCAACCTCATCCACCTCCGCCCTCAACTCCACCACCTCGACGCCGCCACCGCGCAAGAGCGCCAATCCTCCGCCGCCGCCTCCAAGGACGGAGCCGCGCCCGCCGCCCCGACCGCCCGCGCAATCCACATGACCATCAAGACCACCGCCGAGGGAGCAGACGGCGTCTCCACCGAGACAATGGCCGACCGCCTGCGCTCCGTCCAGACCGAGCCCTGGCGCAAGATGCGCTACACCGACGAGAACGAGGAGACCGCCTGGGACGTCTACAACGACAGCCTGTTCCTCCGGCCGAGACCCGATCCCGCGGGCGAGCAGGGTGCCCCCGCTGCGGATGCGGACCGGGATCTAGAGGAGCTTGTCCCGACGCTGGGCAACAAGTGGGACGATAAGCAGTTCCTCGAATCCATCAGCGGCATCAAGAAGCTCGATCCCGTGCCGGAACCGCCCGTCGAGAAGAAGCCAGAGCCCATTGCCGCTGTTGCTGCGCCACCGGCCGAGGAGCCTCGTCAACCACCGAGGGCGACTCGTCCCAGAGCCGGTGCGGCTGCGGCGCTGGCTGCTCGAAGAGGAGGACGAGCGAGAGGCGCGTGAGAATCCTAGAGTCGGTAATCAATCTTTTGCATGGAACCAGGTGTATTGGAGTTTTTGGTTTTCTCATTGTCACACATGTGCTATATCATGTATAGGTACTTTTCCAGCTGGGTGGTTGGATCTACATAAAATACGACATCATTCATACTACCACTTAAAACAACTCAAATCCAGCATCTACACATCAAGTGATGAATCAAGAAGAAAAAAGTTCGCATTGTCCTCATACCGAGGATCGAAAATTCGAGCTCAACGACTCACCCACAGCCACATCTCCTCCATCGTGACTCGATATCATCCTCGCCTCACCCCCATTCCACTCGCTGGTATAGTAGTGGTAGTAGTACAACTGACAAGATCAGACGAATAATATCCCGCTCATTTGCCCACGGACTAGCAACGCTTGCAGCACTACAGCTCCTTTTTTCTTTCTTTTGAAAATGAATGCAAAACGACAAGTTTCCCTCCAAGTCGTCCAGGTTTTCTTTTTTTCCCATCCCATAGCACGAGCACAACAACTGCTAGTCCAATCCTTCCAACTTGCTTTACCCACTGCAGTGATTTCTAACGAAAAAAATAGATGTATTCTTGTAGCCGAGTTCCCGCCCACCAAAACCATGTAAAGACCAGCTCCTGGGTCCTGTTTTTTCTCATTTACTGTCCCATCAACATATCCACGTCCAAGCCAATAGAGTGCAAGAACAGATTGACGCTGCTGAGGCGCTCCGTTGCCATTGTGGGGGGGAGCGTCTTTGCGAGGGAGATGGTGCCAATAACACGATCCTTGACGGCGAGGACCAGGCGAGTCTGCTGGTCGTTGCTGGCGCTGACTCCAAGAGCCGCGAGGAGCTGCCACACGTACACGTCTGATCCGGTGTTGATGCTTTCGGGGAACATGTTGGGCAGCGACATCTCGAGTCTGCTAAAGAAGATTTCATATGTTTGATCCCTAGAGACAACGTTAGCCATCATGTGCTTACAACTCTCGTCAGAACAATTTAGCTGAGCTACTTACCATTTCTCCCACTGTTCAGGGGCGCCGCCGCCAGTCTGCTTGAGAAGCACGGCACGGCTGAGAATCAGTGTGAGCATAGAAACGCCAACTCTGGTCTTGGCAATGTGATCAACGTTTAGGTTGGTGGCAATCAGGTTCAAGACGCCGTCCACAATATCCAGTCCAGTATCGTTAAAGTACTGCATCAACGATGGCATGACGGTGGACAGGAACAGGTCAACGTTCTCTCGCATTCTTGCATTCAGAGTGGGCTCGTCGTTGGTCACGGCGGCACCATTCACCACGTCCAGCTGGTCGAGATGGTAGACAATCATGGTCATGATGGTGGTGCGCTGTTCGAAGCTCAGATGAGGAAAGATTCGAGGGATAGCCTTCTTTCCCTTGGCGCAAGATAAAAAGGCAATGAAGGGGTGAGGAACGACGACTCCAATAGGCTCGTGCACCTTAAGTTCTTCCCAGAGCCGGGAGTTGAGGGCCTCCAATCCCGCCGCCCACTCTCGGTGCTTCTCCTGCAACTCCTGGTCGGCTTGGTTCGTGATAGGAGGGGGCATCAGTCGAACGTGATCTTCGATCTTCATCAAGGTGACGTAGACCCGCTCGGCATTGCGCAGAATCGTCTTACGGTCAAGGCCGCTGGCGGGCGACTTCTTTCCGCTTCCAGCTCGGTTGTGAGGGGGCTCGTTCTCCGCTGCACGCTTGATATTAAGCAAGGGCTTTGGAGTTTTGGCATTGCTAAAGGATATCTTCCCCAAGCTGCCGGCGATGACGAGCTGGGGATTCTTGGGCTTGTTCTTGGCGGCCTCGACAGCTCGCTGGACCTGCTGCTCCATGCGCTGGATATGATTCTCCGCAGGCCGTCCGTGGCGGCGCATGTTTCCATGGCGGCCACCAGTCTGGAAGAGATAGGTCTGAGCAAAGTTGCTCAGAGGCTGGCTGGGGTTTTGGCGTTGACCGGCACGAATGTGGCTATAGACTTGGTAGTAAAAGTCCTCCGAGAGAGAAGCGTCGGATCCCTGCTCGACAGGGTTGCCCGTGGCGGAGACGAGCTGCTGGAGCTGAATACGAGTGATGAAGTTCTTGTCTTGGGGAGTCATCACACCGTTGTCCTTGGAAAGCAACCAAATCTTGTGGTTGCGCTTAGCACGCTTGGTCTCTTGATCTAAAAAGGCAGCCTTTTCCTCCTCGGACATGTGGGCCAACTGAGGATGAGCGCTCAGCTGCGCCATCTTCGCAGCGTCCTGTTGGGCAGCTGCCGCGATGCGCGCCTCAGTAGACATACGCTTGGGGTTTTGAAGAATCTGCACAGGCTGAACTGAGGGTCCGGGCTGCTGCTGAAGGTTGTGGTATTGCTCCTGCTGCCCAGGAGGGGTGGGCAACTTGGGGGCGAGAGAAGGCGAAGCCTTTGCTTGCGAGCCTTGAGGTCGCTGCAGTATGGTAACGGGTGGCGGCTGGCCGTGCTGGGGGTGAGGAGATGCATGCTGAGCAGGCGGATAACTAGCAGAGGCCTGTTGTTGGTACGAAGCAAGCTCGGAGACGGCCGGCTGCGGCGAGGGCTTGACTTGAGCGCGCATGGCTGCTTCAACCTCTTCCAGGCTCATCACCTTTCTTCCAACACTAGCCGAAAGCGCGGGCTGGGGAGAAGGCTTGGGGATTGGGATAGCCGCTGCCTTGGAGGGGCCAATGCCCCAGATGCTCTGGTCGACATGGAGATCAGGGAGAGGCTCGGGCTCATTGTACTTTTCGTAGCCGGTCCGATGAGGACGTGTTGCTATGGGTTCGGCATAGTAAGATGGATGCTGTTCATAGGCCTGCTGTCCATACGCTTGCTGCCCGTACGCTTGCTGCCCATACGCTTGCTGTCCATACGCCTGCTGTTCATAAGACTGTTGCGTATACGACTGGGAGGGTATGCCGATGGGCTGAGCCTGGGTCTGCGAAACATTGGCTCGTGCGGCTGGTTGCAAGCGGTTGAAGCGAAGATGCTCCTCCTCGATGGCATCGGCAACCTTGGCCGTCTGACCAAAAAAGTCAAAGTCCTTGCCAACCTTTGCAGCACCAGCACCAGCACCAGCACCAGCACCAGCACCAGAATCGGCAGCACCACCGCCAAACGTGTCGTCGTTGAAAGCATCGTCGGCATCGTCTAGCTGGTCTCCAAGGCCATCATAGGTGTCTTCGAAGTCGAGGGCATCGCCGCCGTCATCGTGGTGACCGGATAGGCCAGCGAATGGATCATGGGGTTGGGAAAAGCCTGGCGCTGCCGTGTTATGCCCACGGCCGCTGGTATCGAAGCCGAAGAAAGACATGTTGGGTTGTTTGACGAGGAATTATATGTTTAACATACTGGGAATGTTACTGTTAGCTTGATGGACGAAGTTTTGTATGTGAGCGGGTTCAGAAAGGAGACAAGATTTCGCGAGGCTTATTTGAGCTCTAAGCCACCAAGAGCGGTAGAACCTGCCATAGCTTCAGGGTTGGTGGTGAGCTGGAGTGATTGTTGAGCCCCGGAGTGGCCCCGCAATTCTGCGCGCGATGTGTTGTCTTGCCCATTCGGCAAGGCTGAAAGGGACGAGGCCTCGACGAGGCTCGAATATCGGACGCGGCTTCCCCTCCCCAACGACTCCCCACCGGTGGTCGAGCAGAATGGCTCTCGCGAGCGACGGCAGAAAACAGGGCAAAGGGCAAAGGCAGCAGAAGGCGACGTACCGCTAAGATAGTGAAGGGATGGCGAGGACTTGAAAAGCGCACAAACCTATCATGGTGTCTCTCCCGCTGCGACGCCGAGGATGTCCAAGAGCACAAGCAGCAAGCGGACCAAACGCCGAGCTCCTTGTCAAAACGCGGCCTGTCCAACAAGGCGCAGCTGAGCGGCGATCCAGAAACTCGAGGCGAAGCGAAAGCACAGCGCCTGGAGGCCAATTGTGCGGTTTTGGTGAGAGAGACTGACGTCCTCGAATAGAAACAGAACCCCCACATGTGGGAGGAAACAGAATCAGTCAGCCGGCGTGGGGTCACGTGGCCTCACGCATGGAGGGGCAACGAGGTGCATAAACATAAATCGAGTATGAGATAGTGAGACTTGATGAAGATTTGAATAAATCATGAAACGATGGGTTATTACAAAAACGGCCAATTGGATGGATACCAAGGTATTGTGGCTTCCATTTTCTTTTCCTGAATCAGGTGGGAGACAAAAACTCAACTATCTGTTAATAGATACCTACCTGTGTCGATGGTGTAGATACTATTTAGTGGTTCCATCTCTGACTGCATATAGGCGATAGGAGGAAAACAATAGTCTCATGTTCTCCAAGTATTTTTTTTTCAAGTAATACCTAGTAGATTTCCGATTCTTTGAATGTCTGCTACCTGAGCTCTATTCCTCTAGTATCTGGTGTCATCTCTGCGTGCGGGTAGCTGTATGTTTCAGACCCGGAATGCTGGATGCTCAATAGCTGAATACATGTACGGAGTAGCCACTCCCTTCTTCAACGTGACGTGTTTCATTTGAGACGCTTAGCCGTGTGTCAGTGTCTAATCGACTCGAGCCATTCAGCAGCCAATCTCCTACATGACGAGATCGGTTACCCGGCTTACTTGTGCTGTGTCTTTGGACAAGGATGACCCGTACGTGCATGTACCTGTGTAGGGGTCCGTAACAGGCATCTGCCGATCTAAATCCGTCCATCAATTGTTGCTCCGGTTATGACGTTCAATGTTGCTTTTGTATTGAGTGCTTTAATTTCATCTACAATGCCTCGCTATTACCTCGCACATAGTATGCAGTCCAGTAGTGCTCCGTACATACCTATAGTACAAATATCCCCTCACGCATCCAGCCACCAGAATGTCCCACATTGAATCATTCCACGATGCTTCCGCCGAGCTACCAACTCAAGTCAACAGGGTTAGACGACGATCGGTGCTGAGCCTCCACTGCGAAACAGCAGTGCGCTAGTGGTTACAGGGGGCTTCAGTTACAGCCCGAGAGATCCAATGCCACCCAGAGCAGAGGGAACATGAGACGTATCATTGATGGATTTGCTGTTGGTTGGCGAGATGCATCGCGTGCCAGCCATTGTGCGACCAAGAATTGATCTCCTTTTGGTGCTGGCATCAGGTCAGGTACCACCTCTTGTCTTGCTCTGTACTCTGGCCATCGTCTCTCATACCGCTTCTTCTTGCTCCATGTCGCACCAAAGCAGCAATTTGAGGCCTCTGTTGGGCCAGTCAGTCAGTCAGCCCCCTTTGCCATTTCCCGGCACTGCACAGCACAGCACGGCACAGCCTTACCCGCCCAAGATTCCGGATTGCCGTCTCCTGAGCCCGAGCCTGAGCTTGAGCCTGATCAGCAACAATTTCCATGATCCATCGATTTGAAGTTTAATCTGTACCTATGGAGCAGTGCTGTGTATAAGGAACGGCCAAGGTACTTGTCGATACTCCGGCTACCTTTGTAGTACATGCGCCCAATCGCTGTAGCTTTTCACCGGCCACTGCCACATCAGGGGGCCAATCTGTCTTTACGAGCCTGGAGGGCATGTACCGGCCGCGTACTTGGCAACGTCAGTAGCTCCCTGCGGTTGACGGTTAGGGGATTTTAGCACCCGCAAGCCTGGCCGTCCCTGCTGGACTCAGCTGCGTAATGCCGGCCGAGTCGTCTGCAGCTGCTAACCCGCTACTAGAACGATACGAACTGAAGGATTGACGGGCCCTTTTCCCTCCCATTTATTATCTACGGATACCCGCCCGCCTCAATCTTTGTCCTCCTTTTTCCATCTTCTCTCGTTTCAGACCCTTTTATTCTTTGACGTCCTTTTTTCCATCACCGACTTGCTGCTCTGGCTGCCCGACCCAAACCAGCCAGCGGCCTGACTCTACTTGACTCTCCTCCTGCGCGGGGACTCTGTTCAATCTCTAGCGATACGATACGACCCGGCCATGTGCGTCTAACAGCCTCTGTCCACGATCCCAGACGCTGTGCGCCACCCCTGTCTCGATTGTTTCCCTCTGCCCCAGTAACAGAAACAAAACCGGCTCCTTTCCCCCCTCCATCGACGTCGTTTGATTTCTTCCAACCACTCGTCTTCTTCCTGGCAATTGTTGCCGCCCTCGCATCACCATGGCGTCTGCAAATGCGCGCTATGTGCGCTACCTGCTTATCGCCTTCTTTGTACGTGGCTCCAAAACCCCCGACCCGTTTTGTTTTTATGCAAAAGGCACGGTGACGCATGCACAATCGGGCAAATGCTAACCTGGACGCAAAGACGCTGCTAGTCTTCTACTTCGTCTCCAATTCAAAGTACGAGGGCGTCGACATTAGGAAGGGCGCCTTCACATCGCCCAACCAGCAACCCCAAGACCCCTCCAAGCCCGCGCCTCCAAAGGCTCCCTCCGGCAATGCCAAAGACTTCCCTCTCGCCCTGACCCCGAACGACCCCGGATTCAACGACCTGGTGGGCATTGCCCCCGGCCCCCGAGTCAACGCCACCTTTGTCACCCTCGCCCGGAACAGCGACGTCTGGGATATTGCTCGCTCGATCCGCCAGGTCGAGGACCGCTTCAACCGACGATACAACTACGACTGGGTCTTCCTCAACGACAAGCCCTTTGACAGCACCTTTAAGAAGGTGACGACGTCTCTGGTGTCCGGCAAGACGTTCTATGGCGAGATTGCTCCCGAGCACTGGTCCTTCCCCGAGTGGATTGACCAGGACAAGGCCAAAAAGGTGCGGGAGGACATGGCTGAGCGCAAGATCATCTACGGCGACTCCGTCAGCTACCGCCACATGTGCCGCTTCGAATCGGGCTTCTTCTTCCGCCAGCCCCTCATGATGAACTACGAATACTACTGGCGCGTGGAGCCCTCCATCGAGCTCTACTGCGACATCCACTACGACCCCTTCCGCCTCATGGTGGAGAATGGAAAGAAGTACAGCTTTGTGCTAAGCTTGTACGAGTACCCGGCCACCATTGCCACCCTGTGGGAGAGCACCAAGAAGTTTATCAAGAATCACCCCGAGCACATTGCCGAAGACAACTCAATGAAGTTTTTGAGTGACGACGGTGGTGAAACCTACAACAACTGCCACTTCGTAAGCATCCCCTCTTTATTGACTTCAACCCAGAGTTTATCTAATTGAATACGATAGTGGTCCAACTTTGAGATTGGCAGCTTGGAGTGGCTGCGGAGCAAGCAGTACATTGACTTTTTTGAGTCCCTGGACAAGGACGGCGGCTTCTTCTACGAGCGATGGGGAGATGCCCCCGTCCACTCCATTGCCGCCGGCCTGATGCTCAACAAGAGCGAGATTCAGTTCTTCAACGACATTGCCTACTGGCACGTCCCCTTTACCCACTGCCCCACTGGCGAGAAGACAAGAACCGACCTTCGCTGCCATTGCGATCCTAAGGAGAATTTCGATTGGAAGGGCTATTCTTGTAAGTCGGTCCCTGTTAACGTATTCTGCGTGAGATTGCCAACATTTGCTGATTGTTGACCTAGGTACGTCTCGGTTCTTTGACATGAACGGCATGGACAAGCCCGAGGGCTGGGAAAACCAGCGGGATTAGAGATGGGATGGAAAAGCTTTTATACTTGACCAGCGATCAAGTTTTCAATGGGACGGGGCGATACGCTTAGTTATTCATACCCGAGTTTAATTCGCAGGCACGTCTCACACATCATGTGCGTGTGCATGTGCATGTGCATGTGCATGCACGCATGAATTCAAGGGGGACTATGAGAAGAGACGAAAACAAAAGAAAGGGAATGGTATTTTTTTTTTAAACTGCGGGAGGTATAAGGGGGCGTCTGTGTCTGCTGGCTTTACACGATTTGGACAATGATTGCTGGTGTAAATATAGGGTGAAATGGGACGTGACGAGGACGTTTGCTTGATGTGACTTGATGTTCCAAGGTGTGATGATATGTTGTTCTTTTTTTATATGTATTGTACAGTGCTCGTCTCTTATGCTGCTCTATGATATTTTTTATACATGGCGGCCCAATGTCCAGATCAACATTTGCCTCATTTGCACAAGAGATCCGTCGTTTTCATATATCGTTTTGCTCTATCCATCCACTCATTACACCAACTCAACCAACGGTAGCCTTCTTGGGCTTCTTGGTGCCATATTTACTCCTGCTCGTCGTTCTGCTCGCAACACCACCCTAAAAACACAAAACGCAAGTCAGCTCACGCACTTTCACTCTACATCCCCCCAAAAAACTCATAATTTCAAATCTCAACATACCAGGTCCAACGCTCCTCGCACCAAATGGTACCGCACACCAGGACAATCCTGCGCCCTGCCTCCCCTCACAAGCACGACGCTGTGCTGCTGGATGTTGTGTCCCTCGCCGGGGATGTACGCCGTCACGACGGCCCCCGAGGACAGCTTGACACGCGCCGTCTTGCGCTCGCCGGAATTGGGCTTCTTGGGCCGCACGACGCCGACACGCAGGCACACGCCCTTGAGCGAGGGGCAGTGCGTGTTGGACAGCGCGGGCGAGACGGCGTGGCGAGCTCGCTTGCCCTTGCGGATGCCGCGCAGGACCTGGTTCAGCGTGGCTTGCGGGGCGGGGGTTGTTGAGAATGCGCGGCGGGCGAGGGAGAGGAGCGGCGAGGGAGAGGCTTGGAATCGGGAGGATGTTGATGCGGAGGGGAGTGTTGATGTTGATGTGAGGGATTGGCGGGCGGGGGAGAAGAAGAAGCTGCGGAGGAGTGCGGACGCCATGATGGGCTTTTGCGCAATTGGGAGACTTTTATGCTGTTAGAAGTAAATGCTCATTTGTTGTTGTGTTGTGCGTGTGCAATTGAGTTGTTTTGGCGATTTGTCGTTGCGCCTGGTGCTATCACTTCAAATCCAGACTATCATATCAATATGCAGCCATCACCAAATCTTGCAAGTGGGCTGAACTGAAAGAGAGCAGTCACATGACCTTGGAGAAATCCCGGAACCCCAGATCAGCCGCATTCCGCACAACGAAACGGTACTTTCCACAACGTACCCTTTTTCTGTCCCACTCCCGACATGTGAAAAGGCACCATCTCAGTGCGGTTAAATCCCGGCTCTTTCATCTTCACCCCACGTTGCAATTCCAGCTCTTTTTCACCTGCTTATAACTGCCCCGCTGCCCGTTCGGCGTCGGTACAGCGGCCCCGGATAGAATCGATGGTTATCCTCGGCTGAATCCACCGAACAACAGACAAAACGAACCAGCTGGGGGTAAAGAAGTCAAGAGCCGGGCCCGGCGATAATCGATTGCTTATTGCTTTCTCTCCCTTTTTTTTCTTTCCTCTTCTCTTCTTCTTTATTTATCCCTAGCCTCGCCGTCTTTATCTTCGTCTTCATTCTCCTCTTTTCGTAGAGCTGATTGATAGCCTCGGCCTCACCTCCTCTCACAACCATGTCATCGTCATTCACACGGGCCCTGCGCCCTGCCCTGCGCTCCAGCCGGGCCCTCGCCCAGCGAACTTCCGTCGCCAGCGTCCTCCGTCCAGCCATCCGAAGCAACGTGTAAGAAGCAACCTCTTCTCACCTCACTATCAGCATGTCCCAAATCCATCAAGCAGCTGACAAACAAATGCCCATCACCAGCCCCGTCCGCCATCTCGCCACAACCATCCCCAGACTCTCCTCCTCCATCGACATCTCGGAAATCCCACCGACGCCCATCACCCACCTCTCCGAGATCGAGGCCGCCATGACCGAGTCCGTCTCCAAGTTCGCCACCGACGTCGTCCTCCCCAAGGCCCGCGAGATGGACGAGGCCGAGGCCATGGACCCGGCCATTGTCGAGCAAATGTTCGAGCAGGGCCTCATGGGCATCGAGATCCCCGAGGAGTACGGCGGCGCGGGCATGAACTTCACTTCCGCCATCATCGCCATTGAGGAGCTCGCCCGCGCAGACCCCAGCGTCAGCGTCATGTGCGACGTCCACAACACCCTCTGCAACACGGCCATCATGAAATGGGGCTCCGAGCACGTCAAGCGCACGTTTCTCCCGCGCCTGGCCACCGACACCGTCGCCTCCTTTTGCCTGTCCGAGCCCGTCTCCGGCTCCGACGCCTTCGCCATGGCCACCCGCGCCGTCGAGTCCGCCGACGGCTTCGTCCTCAACGGCTCCAAGATGTGGATCACAAACTCGGTCGAGGCCGGCATCTTCCTCGTCTTCGCCAACCTCGACCCGTCCAAGGGCTACAAGGGCATCACCGCCTTCGTCGTCGAAAAGGGCACCCCCGGCTTCTCCATCGCCAAGAAGGAGAAGAAGCTCGGCATCCGCGCCAGCAGCACCTGCGTCCTCAACTTTGACGACGTCCGCGTCCCCAAGGAGAATATCCTCGGCGAGCGCGGCCAGGGCTACAAGTACGCCATCAGCATCCTCAACGAGGGCCGCATCGGCATCGCCGCCCAGATGACCGGCCTCGCCCTCGGCGCCTGGGAAAACGCCGTCAAGTACGCCTGGAACGACCGCCGCCAGTTCGGCTCCCTCATCGGCGAGTTCCAGGGCATGCAGCACCAGTTCGCCCAGGCCTACACCGACATCGCCGCCGCCCGCGCCCTCGTCTACAACGCCGCCCGCAAGAAGGAGGCCGGCCAGGACTTCATCAAGGACGCCGCCATGGCTAAGCTGTACGCCTCCCAGGTTGCCGGCCGCGTCAGCAGCCTCGCCGTCGAGTGGATGGGCGGCATGGGCTTTGTGCGCGAGGGCCTGGCCGAGAAGTTTTTCCGCGACAGCAAGATTGGTGCCATTTACGAGGGCACCAGCAACATTCAGTGAGTTTCATCTTATAACATTGCTATGGAGTAAGAAATCAAGAGGCTAACGTGATTTACCAACACAGGCTCAACACCATCGCCAAGCTGCTGCAAAAGGAGTACACCAACTAAGAAAAGATGAAAAAGACTTCCGTAAATAAAACAACACATGTAAACGAACCAAAAAAAAAACATCATATAGACGTAAAAGAAGAAGCAGGATCTCTATAGTCTCCAAATAATTCCATAGAAGCCAATTCTCACCACGACATTCTTAATCACCCAGCCTACAACTCACCCAACATGCATGACTGTGAAACTTCACATTCAAATCAACGTCACACGACAAAAGGCTCAAAACTATTTCGTAGACATGGCATCAAACTCTATTAGTAGGTATACTTTCTTACGCTAACAAAACCCCCCTGGCAAGCAACAATGCTTTCTTCTCCGCTGAAGATTGAATGTTGGAAAAAAAAAACGCGCGAACAAATCAGTTTTCAAGTTGAAAAAAGATGAAGAAGAAAAAAAGAGTAGTTCTCAAGTCCCAAAAGAGATTTGCTTTTCTGTTCTCAAACGTAAAGAAAAGAAAACAAAGTCGCCCCTTTAAGAATGGAAAGATAAAAAAAAAAAAAAAAGACTCAAAGCGATCAAAAGCATAGCCTGGCGAGCAGTGGGGGGAAAACATCTCCCAATGCCAAAGGGGGGGGAAGACACAAAATGCTCGTCAAAATCTCTTCTCCTTCTGCAAGTATTACCAAAAGGCCATCGAATCGTCTCGCCGTACTACTCTGTAAAGATCCATCGGGCACCTCGCGGCACCGCATCCTGGCTGCTGGATAGCAAGAACAAGGCCCACGTGTATAGAGCCGCCGCCACCATTAACTTTTATCTCCACTGCTTGTCCTGGTCAAACTCTGTTCGTCATTCTCCTACTCCAAGTCCGCCGTGTAGCTGAATCCTCGGAACTCTTCTTGCATTGCTTGAGAAAGTACTGTAGTAGGGTTGGTTAGCAGCCGCGACAGAGCACAAGAGGGCAAAAGGGTGGCAATGAACTTACCAGACTGGACTGGGGTGAGAACAGGGGTAACGCTTGTAAACTCGGAGTCAAAGTTGCTCGTGTCCGTAGCACTCTTGATCTGGGGCAGGAACGGCGGCTGGACTCTCTTGTGGTAGATGTCGTCCCAGTTGATGTTGCGGAAGAAGGGCTGGCTCATGATCTCCTGCGCGTCGGTAGGGCCGCTTCCGAGTCGCTGGTCGGGCTCTCTGGTGAGGAGTTTCTGAAGAATGGACACGGAATCCCTAGGCATGTGAATCGGGTAGAGGGGCTCATCGGCGAGAATGGCGTCGTAAATCTCGTCTTCGTCTTCACCTCGGAAGGGAGACTGCTGCAGGAGCATCTGGTAGATCAAGACGCCAAAGGCCCACCAGTCGACCGCGCGGCCATACTTCTTGTCCAACAAAATCTAGTCGGTTGGTGTTAGCACTCGTTTCAAAGACAGCTGAAAAGATGGTATATGCTTCATACCTCAGGGGCCATGAATTCTGGAGTTCCACAGAATGTGCTCGTCGTTGAGCCATACCACATGTCTTCCTTGCAAAGACCGTAATCGGCAATCTTGATGTGGCCATCGAGCGTCAACATGATGTTGTCGAGCTTCAAGTCACGGTAAATGACGCCGTTTTCGTGGAAGTACTTGAGGGCCAAGCAGACTTCGGCAGCGTAAAACCTAAACACAAATCATGTCAGGACGACTTCACAAGAGAGGAATGGTGTTCGTTGACTCGACTTACTGAGCTCGCTTGGTACCAAATTGGCCACGCTGAATGTGAAGCATCAAATCACCACCACTAATGTACTCCATCACAAAGTAGACACGGGTTTCGGTCTGGAAACAGGCATGCAGGTTGGTCAAGAACGGATGCCTCTCGCGGTTGGCGATGAGGAACACTCTCTTCTCCGACTTGATGCTCTCCACTTCGTCATTCTCAATAATAAACTCCTTCTTGAGCACCTTGATGGCGAACAGTCGCCTAGATTTCTTAGTTTCCGCCAACATGACTTTTCCAAAGTTTCCTTTTCCAAGAACGGCAAGGAAGTTGAAGTGATCAAGTCCAATACGCGCGCCGGTACCAGGATCGGTGGCAGACGGCAGAGCCTTGCGCTGGGCACCTCCAGGCCCTGTGGCGGCTCCCTGGGGAGATATGGGCGACTGCGGCTTCGGGGCCGCTGGTTGCTGGTACTGGGGCTGGGTGGGTTGCGGCGGCAGAGCCTGTTGGGGGGGTGGCTGCTGGGGTGGCAGCTGAGGAGGGGGAGCCTGTTGCTGCTGCTGTTGCTGCTGAGGAGGAGGAGCAGGTCGTTGCTGGGCCGGCGGCTGAGCACCGAATCCCTGATCCACGTTGGCATAGTCCGCCGGGTTGTACTTGTGATGCTGGGGAGCGGCACCGCCATACTGTCCTCCTTGAGCATACGGATCCTGAGGTGCGGTATCATATCCGGTGCGGCCCTGCGCGGCGGCCATGGCAGCGGTGGCCGCGGCGGCAGCGGAGAGGTCAGAGGGCGCACGGCCAGGGTGATCAGGTCGCTGAGGCGATGTCTGGTTAGCATACATGAGCCGCGCCGCCTCAGTGGCCTCTGCCGAGGGGGTTCCGGGGGATGAGCCGGCACCCGCGCTCGAGAACGACGCAGATGATCCGTGGCCGGTGGTCGTCGGGCTCTTGCTGGCGCCAGATCGCAGCGTCTTTTCCGACAGCGACGTCGTCTTTTGCTGCCTCTGCTTCTGGACCCTGATGCCCTCGAGAATTTGGTTGGCGACAGCCATGGACATGCCGCAGAAGTCGGGAACCAGGTGGACACACTGGGCGTGACACGTGAGGCCACATTCTATCAAGTTGTCAGTCAAGCTCGCTCAGACGGAACAAGTGAATACGAGTAGCACGGCGGGCTTACCTGAGCATTTTCGACAATTCTTTTTGCCAAATGGCAGTATGTAACCGCAGTGACAGCACCAGTTGGCCGTGACGTTGGAAAAGGGTTGGAACCTGTGGGGAATGCGGTGGTTGATCTTTTCCTCGTCAGGATCAGTCTCAGCATTACTCTTACTGATACACTTGGTGACAACGCTGGAGTAGCACTTGTTGTGGCAGGTGTATTTGCAGTCTTCGCACTGCATACCCGCGGAATACTTGAGGAAGTCTCCGCAGAGGGCACAGCGCATGATGTTGTAAAACTGGTGCTGGACAAACTTGTGGCCGAACATTTCGTGAACTTCCTCCTTGCGCTGTCGAACGGCACCCTTTCGGCCCAGACCGAGATCCACCTGTCTCTTGTCGCGGTTTTCCTTGACAAAGCTGAATTCGAGTTGAATCTGTCCCGCCGGCTCAAGGTTGAACCAGCCATCGATGGGGCCAGTGACAACCTGAGGCTGAGGGCCCGGATCGCCAAACGGTGCTCCCTGACCCTGGCCACCAGGGGTCTGGGGAGAGCCTCCGAAAGATCCCTGGGTTGGGCTCATCGGGAACTGAGAGGGAGCTCCAGAGCTGCCCATTCTATCAGCAGACACCCATCCGGAGCTGTTCATCTCGGCCTCGATCCTCTTGCGGCGCATTTCCTCGACGATGTCGGATATCCGGACCCAGAGCATGCCAATGGGCATGGGGTGCTCGCCGGGCTTGTCGTAGATTGTAAGCTCAATCTCGTTGGCCTTGTCAACTTCGATGTTGTGATACTCGGCTTCCCAGCGGTCATTTCTCGAGGTTCTAGTTCGGGCCATAACAGTGTCCTCGACTTTAACGGCGACAAACGTTTCCGGACCCCGAGCAAATCTCCCGGTGGTGGCGTGATCTACGTCCTTGATGGCCACAACACGAATGGAAAGCTGACCGCTCAAAGGCTTGCGAAGGTTGGGCGTGTTGATGGAGTCGTCTGTGAGAGGAGAGTGAATTAGTGAGTGGGGGGGGGTTCCTTTGCCTCTTTGCATGATGTACATACCATCCTGAGCATCGGACGAGTCCATGTCGACGTGCAGTTCCTCATATCTCTTCAATGCCTGCTTCAAGAGAAGGATCTTCTGCTTGCTCTCAACCCTGCGAGCAGCCGCATCTGCCTTGCTCTTCCTGTCGCCTTCCATGCCATACAGCTGCACCATTTTCTCGACGCCCTTGAGATATTGCTCTTCGACATTGAGCTTGAACTGGATCTGCGAGAGCATGTGCTGGATTCGAGGGCCGAGGAAGGGGGTTTCATACTTGATCAAATCTGCACGCAAGACGGGGTTGGTTAGCCACAGCTCGTATCCCACCGAAAAGAAGAGGGGAAGGCGGGGAGGCGGGAGAGACAAAAAAAAGAAAGACGGCGGATAAGAGGCGAGGGCAGTAGAAGGAAGCTCTCTGTAGAACACACCTAGCTTGGTGAAGTTGGGACGAGCTTTGGAGGCAGCTCCAGGGCCCGGAGCACCAAAGTTGTGTCTCGGGGGTGCCAGATCCGAGGGCGACCCAGCCTGGCCCTGCTGGCCATAAGACGCCTGGTCTCCCCACGACGACGAGGCATCTTTGGGCGGCGGAGGGGGAGCGCCGGCGTCGTCGCCGCCCAGAGACATGCCCTCGACGCCCTGGCCGACCCTCCGCATCTGGATATCCCGCAGCTTCTCCTCGAAGAACTGCAGGTTTCGGCGGCCATCGCGCATCTGGGAGTCGAGCCGAGAGCGCACCGCCTCGTTGTTGGTCTGCGAACGCATGGCATTGGCGGCGTTGATCAGAGCCTTTTCCCGCTCAATCTTCTTGTTGATGCTCTGGATTGCCTCGTCCTCATTCATGGCGGCGGTGCGGGGAGCGCGATTCGTACGCGCAAGACGGTCTGGTGATGGTGAGGAGGGGAGGAGGAGGAGGAGGAGGAAGATGAAGATGAAGACGGAGGTGGAGAGAGAAAAAAACAAGCGGCTCCACGACTAGATGCAACGACGGGAGCGGCCGGGCAAGGCGAGGGAGGAATAAGAAGCTGCTGGGCGAAGATGCCTGGGGTAGCGGCAGGGCAGAGATGCTTGCGGTGGGAAGAGGGAAAAAAAATAATAAAGCGGCCAAAGGTGCCTGTCCTGTCAAAGGTGGTGTTTTGTGGATGTCGTCAGTGATGGGGGGGGAGTCGCTAGGCATGTGGCGGGGTTTATGATGGCCAATATCGGGCGGTTTTGCGGCACTGGCACTAGCAACAGCAGTGGAGGGCCCTAAAGGCAGCAGCCCAGCAGCGGTGATGAGCTGCTGCTAGTATTACGAGGCTGTTGGATGGATGGATGGATGGATGGAATGGATGGAATGGAAATCTACCCGACACGAACCGTATCTGCTGGGAACTACCAAGGCCCAAGTCCACACTTGATGCTGGTGCTGATCTTTAACTATCCAGATGTACAGTGCAGATTCTTCGAGACTCTCTGCGTTACAGCCACCGCCCGGGGTGCTTCTTCATAGGACTGTCTGTCTTGCCTCGTCGTCTTGATCTCTGCCGACCAAGGCCGCAACGTTTGAGAAACTAGCCGAAGCCCCCCTCTGATCTGTGAGAGGCGATTCATGATTCGTTGAAAATAAGCATCAAGGTATGTATTATTCTATACCGTTCTTTACAATGGAGCAGCGGCCGTCCCTTGCTACAATCATTCCGTAATCACCAAACAGTTACCAAGCATGTCGGCCTCCTACCACATTTGGTGCCTGGTCCAGTCGGGCTCCTATCTAGACCTACTATGTGATTCCACATCACAAACGTCGCCTCACCTCGGCCAAGCTAACGGCAACGGCAACGGCCTACCCTGCATAAACCGAGAAACAAGAACTTGGTCTGAGACAAGTTGCAGCCGGGATAACACGTAACATGAAGCTACGGCCCTCGGGAGGAGGCTACGGCGTTCGATAGACCATTACAGTAACTCGTTTGACAAATAGTTAGTGCTGAGTGCTGAGTAGCACCTTGTCCGACCTTGTACTGGGGATGATGATGCAACAGCTTCACTTAGACTTGCGATATACTAGCATCAGTAAACTCTAAAGCAAACAAAGCTTTATGAGAGAACCTTGAAACTTAGCTGCAGCTCTGCCATGCCATGCCACTCATAGCAGCTCGGCAACGCACAAAGCATCTTCAGAGTGTCTGATCAGTCACAAAGAAAAGGCGGCCTCTCGTGTAAAACAACAAAGCCATCCCGCCAAATACGACATTCCATTCAACCTGCTCCACGTGACGCCTCATCCCATCCCATCCATTCAATCAATCTCACCAAGGAGAACAAAGATTCAATGGCGATCGGCTTGTGAAAAACCACACCAACCTCCCCGGCCTCAAACTTTATTCCACCACGAAAGCTCCGAGAGCGAATGAAGACCAATTCCAACGGCGGGGGGGTTGCATTAGAACGAAGCTTTTCTGCTTCGTGTCACTCCCGTATGGTAGCAAAAGCAAAGCCTCCTTCGGTTCCCAACGAAACCGAGTGAAAAAAAGAGACAAGAAAAAAAAGTCCTACCAGCTCTAGGCTCAAAAGTCCTAGATTTGTCTCCCAGCATTGACCCTTCTTTTTGCTAGGACATGGGGTTACACCGACCGGAATGACGTTGCTCCATGTTGTTTTGGCAAGGCTTGTGTTTGGTGCTGAATGGCTTTGTGCAGTGCCTTTGACGTTTGCCGTGGCGCTTCCCTTGGGGTCAATACTAATTGTCCTTCAGTTTCTTTGTTAGTGTTTGGTGGAGGCAATGGCGGACGGGACTCTCAAGATCCGGGCCAAGGCTGGCTGTGGCTGGACAAGTTTGTGCCAAAGCTGAGCGGCCGCTTATTGTGCCGTCAGTGAGCTCGAGAATGCTCGATTGATTGCCTCTAGTCAGTAGTCCGTAGCATCAGACTGAAGCTGTAATAAGCAGCAAGCACTTTGGAATCTCTGCCACCGCCACCAAAGCCATGACCGGCAGCCTCCACCAGCCTCATCGCCACTTCATTCAAACAGCCTTGCCATCAAGTACATATCCAAGTCTTGTTCTCATAAAAGAAAATGCATTTTTGGGGCCTCATAGCAGCCTTCTCATTGTACAAAAGAGCCCCTCCCCGGATGTACATACATAGTAACTCATGCCCCGGTTATCCGCTCCGCTGCGCTATATGTGTCTAAAGCTCCTTGTTATATCCCTTCAAGGCCCAATATGGTTCTGTGTCTATATTACATCAAAGAGTCGAATCGTTAGAATACATGCCTATCCATCTCCTTCATTTACTACTTCGAAACAACGCTCCCATGCGCCATGTGATGAATATGCCAGTGACGAGGCCCTCCAGCACCAAGGCGGATGCGTCTCGCATGCGCATGTCCACCTGGCGCTCGCTAATCAGGTATTCGAACCCGGCCCTCCACACCTCGAGGTCGGTCACAAGGGCCTTCCATCGCGACAGGACATCTTTCAACTCCTGGAAGCTGCGAATCCAAACCGCGGACATGGTGGTCTGCCAGACAGCCCTGATCTTGGTCAGGCTGAGCAGCTTCTGGGCTTCCTTTTCACGAGCCTTGATTCTGTCGACCTCGGCGGCCGCGGCCACCTGGTCGAGGTTGGCCTTGATCACGGCCAGCTCGGTCTGAACTTCGTCTAGGACTCGCTTCTCCTCTGCCACGACGCCCTTGACCAGCCTTTTCCTCTTCCAGGGCTCGGCGACGAACTGGAGAACGACAAAGAGGACAAAGTTCATGCCCATCAGGCCCCAGGTACCCCAGGTCGAGGCCCTTCGGATCCGGTCGCTCCAGATCTGCTCTTCATGATAGCGTTTCAGGATGCCGGCGCTGAGCTTCTGGCTGAGCTTCTGCTCGTCGGACTCGGCCTCGGTCAAGTTTTCCTGCGCCGTGACGACCTCGCCCTCCAGGACGTGGTCTGTGCGGTACAATTCCGTAAAGCGTTCAAGATCTGTCGGTGTCCATGTATCCTTGCGGGCAAGCAGCGTCGTCACCTCACGCTGAGTCGACGCTCGCTTGTTATTTGACGTCTTGTATGCCTGTCTGGCCGCCCGCACACGAGCCTGGGCCTCGGCCAAGCCAGTCTCCAGCTGCTCATTCTCCACCTTGATGGCTTCGATGCCCGTGTAGCCGGTGATCTCGTTGAGCTTCTGCGAGGCATTGAGAACTTTTGACTGGACATTGTCCATGATGCCGCTGAACCTCTTGTTCAGGGCACTCCGGCGCTCCTCAGATATGGACGGCAGCTCCAGCCAGCTCGGCCGGGACCACGAGGCACCGGCGGCGGGGGGTTCGGTGCTGCTTGCATTTTTCGCGGGTGCAGCCGGTTTGTCGGCTTTGGGGGCGGATGGAGGGGGGACGGGGGATTTGTCGGCGTCGTGGGGAGGCTGAGAAGAGTAGAAGCGAGGGAAGACGATGGGCTGGACGTGGCAACGCTTGCAGGGCGTCGACGGCCATCGGGCTGTGGTGATGGTGATGCCGCCGGGGGCAGGCCTTGCTGCCAGCTCCAGCCCTATCCTGCCATGTCTCCAGACAGCACGGCCAAACGGCTGCATATCTGCCAGCGCAGGGCCGAGAAGCCTCTGCACCGCTGTTTTCTTCTTCTTCTTCTTTGATCCTCGAGGGCTCGAACCGCCGGATGTCGGTGCAGCTTTCCGGGGTTGGTAGGAGGGGGAATTTTCTCCAGGTCTTTTTTTTTTCTGCGTACAGTAGCCGAGAGACGGGACAAAGTGCTGGGCTGGACTGGGATCTGTCTTAGTCTGGCCCCGTGCCTTGACACCCAAAAGCCGTAAATCGTCGGGTGCAATGGCGAGAGAGAGAAACCAGAAAAACAGAAAAACAGAATCACAGAAGAAAAAAGAAAAAAAAAAGAAAGAGAAGAGAAGAGAGTAGTGCTCCTCCACTCTGCCAATTGATGGTCGTGGCCCAGCTTACAGGCCCAGGCGTGAGCGATAATGTTCCCGTTGCCTCCACCTCTGAACAGACAGCTTCCCCGGCTGAGCCCGGGTCTTTGGGCCGATCTCGACGGGCAGGTTTTTGGTGTAGACCGCCTTCGCAAAAATTCGCGCGCCGATTGTTTGTTGGCACCCGCATGTGAGCGGCTTAGTGGGTTTGTGCTGTCCATATGGATATATTCTGCGGGTGCTAGAAGTGGTGGCCGGGGAAAAGAATTGACATTTTTTTGATGGAATTGATTCTGATTGAGAGTGCCCATGTATAGTCTTGCAATTGATACATACAAAAGACATGAATTGATATTGATGTTACGCAGTGGAATTAGACTCTGGTGTCAACTACTTGACATTGAACTCAATTCATCAAAACCTTGTGTGCCATCGAGTCTCCCGAAAAGGCCTATTTCGGGCTTCTAGCGCCCTGGCGGGGCTCGCGGCCCCCTGTGCCTCCACTGTCCCTGTCCCTTGACCACTGCGGCGGGGCATCTCAGCGAGGTGAAGCCGCCAGAAATGACGACACACAGCGGACGTGGGATTTGATAGCAGAGCATTAGCTGGCAGATCGGCGCTGCGCCAGGAGGGATTTTCACCAACAAAATCAACAGGGGATGGCGATTTGCATTCGAACTTTTATTTTAGACTCCTTTTCGTCCTTTTCGTACTATATTTCCCCTTCTTCTCTTCTTCATCTTGGCCGAGCGTTGTCATCTTCCATCTCCCTCTTCTCCCCATACTGCCAATCTTATCGCCGTCCAAAAAACTGCCCCTCCATCTATTTGCCCCTCCAGAATTTCCCCTTCTCTCCTCGCCTCTCCATCTTCACCTTTCAATATCCATAGGCAGTCAAACCCCCAGATTAACCTCCACAATGGGCTCCGTCGCAAACGACATTCCGGCCATGGCCACCAACCCCAAGTTCATCTTCTTCACCGACTTCGACGGCACCGTCACAACCGCCGATTCCAACGACTACATGACGGACAACTTGGGCTACGGCGTCGAGAAGCGCAAGCAGGGCAACGCCGACACGCTCCACGGCCGAGTCAACTTTCGCGATTCGTTCCGCGAGATGCTGGACAGCGTCACGACGCCCTTGAACGAGTGCGTCGACATCCTTCTGGCCAACATCAAGCTCGACCCCGGCTTCAAGGACTTTTACAACTGGGCCCAGGACAACAACGTCCCGATTGTCATTCTCAGCGGAGGCATGGAGCCTGTGATCCGGGCGCTTCTGGATAAGCTGCTGGGGCCTGGGTGGGATATCCAGATTGTGAGCAACTTTGTGCGGGCGAGGGAGGGAAAGAGCCTCACCGACGTTGGTGGCTGGGAGATTATCTTTCGCGATGACAGGTAAGGATTATATGAGTCCGATGCGATCTGATAATAGATCATTCTTGGTGCCGGTATTGACAACGTGACGCAGCATTCACGGCCACGACAAGTCCATTGAGATCCGCAAGTACTCGAGCCTTCCCAACCGACCAACCATGTTCTACGCCGGCGACGGCGTCTCCGATCTGTCTGCGGCCAAGGAGACTGATTTGCTCTTTGCAAAGGCCGGAAAGGGTGCGTTCTAAACTGTCTAATTCTCACCGCCTATACTGAAGTTAACATTCGTGAGTAGATTTGGTGACTTGGTGCGAAAACGAAAACGTCCCCTTTGTCACATTCAACGACTGGACAAGCATCACCCAGACGGTCAAGGACATTGTTGCCGGCAACATTACCGTCCAGGACGCGGCCAAGGGTCGCATTTAATTTTACGATTTGAACGACTTTTTATTTTCCAACAATTTATTTGGATGACCGTGTTTATACAAGGGATGTTGATAGATGCTTAGTTGGGCTGGTTGGATACCATCTATAGAAGGTATAAGAAGGTATAGATTTCTTGGGAGACTTAGAAAAAAGAACGGTAGCTTAGATTCACTATAGAATGGATAGATGAACAAGCCGCATAGACTCGTTAATAGTATACTAGTTATGACATTGATATTGTTTCATCATTTCTCATTATCCCTTTGCCCTTTTAAATCAACACACCTCATATACGCCGTTTCCTCCTTTTCCCCCCAGTTCATCACATTATAATTCCCTCCTCATCCCCAATCACTTCTTCTCCTTCGTCTCAGAAGGAATGCCATACCAGCACAGCAGCATCACGACAAACAAGAAAATCACAATCGGATGCAACACCCACGTCCCAACCGCCTGCGCCAACAACCCCGTCACAAACGGCGCAACGGCGCCCCCCAAGCTCCCAAACGCGCTGATGGCCCCCATCCCGCTCAGGATGTCCCGGTGCGACATGCCGCGCATGAAGACGGCCGCCGAGCACGGGTAGATGGGCCCCAGCAGCAGGCCGACGATGCTCACGGCCACGGCGTCGCCCACGACGTTGGGCACGAACCACACCAGGAGCTCAAAGGCCAGGGCGCCCGCGACCAGGCCGTAGACGAAGACCTTTTCGCCGAAGCGAGCGGCGGGGCCGGACAGGAAGAAGCGGCCGATGGTGATGCCGGCCCAGAAACCGGCTGAGACGTAGCCGACGGAGGATGGGTCGCCGCCGCGCGAGTTGATGAGGAAGGAGATGACCCAGCCGGAGATGGACACCTCGGCGCCCTGGTAGGCGAAGATGAAGGTTGATCCTAGCAGCACGATGCGCAGCTTCACCGCGGCAAACATGCCCAGGAAGGCCGAGTTGTCTGGCGCTGCTTCTCTCTCGCGGACCGCCGGGCTTTGCTCCTTTTCAAACCGCCAGAACGCCCACGCCGAGAGCGTCATGGTCACGAAGCCAATCCCCAGGGTCAAGATGTAGTAGTGATTCCACGCCGTGTGCGCCACGGTAACCAACGCCGTGGCAATCAGGGGGCCTGAAGTGCCTCCAATGCCATAACTCCCATGCAACATGCCCAGCATGATGGTGCTGTTCTGCAGACTGCCGCAAAAGATGTTGCCCATGGCGACATTAATAGCAATGCCCAGGCCGACGAAGAAAAACGCAGCCACGACGACGCCAAAGGGGGCGGCGGCGACGAGAGGGATGTAGGCACACGCCATGAGCATCTGGCCGACGGCAATGAGCTTTGCCCGGCCCAGCTTCGCACGCAGCGTGTCGAGGAAGACGGCGGCAAAGACGAAGCCCAGGGCTTGGCCGACGAAGATGAGCGATACAATGGCGTATCCGATTTCATAGTGTCTTTTGATGATCCCGTTAGTCTCTTGGGCTCTCTCTCTTCACGGTTTACATGACAAAACAGGAAACCTACTTTTCCATGTAGGGAATCAGAGCACCGGCGGCACTGTCACTCAACGCATTGCCAAAGTTGGCCAGACACACAGACAGCAGTCTGAAGCGATTCATATACGGCTCCCACACGCTGGGAATCACTTCCACGGCATCAACCTCGAGAGCCGGGCTCGCCGGACGACTTCTCTCCAGATCGGCATCTTCTGTCCTAGGCGTGACTACACCAGAGGCGAATGTATCACTACGAGGCCGCACATTGACAATCTCTTCCTGGTACGGGCCGCTGGAATAGGTCCTCTGGTAGGTCTTTTCCGGGGCTGTGAGCGGCCTGGTCGCCTCGTCGGGAGAAGGGCCGGATTGGATCTCCACGAGGTTTCGCAAGAGGATTGCGTCCATGGTGGAGAGAAAAAATGCTGTTCAATCAATGGGGAAAACAGCAATTGAGGGTTTAGTTGTATGCTTGGAATCGGGTTGATGAACAGAAATTCACTTTTGCGAAAGGGGAAGTTTTGATTCCAAGGAGCCCCAAGGTGAGCTTTCACCAGAGCTTCCTCGCCCGTCATTTATACGCCGTCCAGCTACAGCAGACAACTCAAAAAAAAACACACTGTAAACAGTGTTGCAACGGCCCAATTTTCCACCAGGTCTCGTGGACCGATAAGCTCTGCTAGTGGAATGCCCAATTCCGGGAATCCATGCTGTGACGAAAAAAAAAAGCCATCGTGGGATTTTGTGGTGAAAGTACGGAGCACTCGTGATAAAGAAGCTTCAGCTGCGGGTCTCCCAAACGATATCGGCTGCGGCCCTCCGTGAGCCGGCAAGCGAGCCCGTGGGAAAAGTGCCTGATATACAAGTCTCTTTCGCGCGGAGCCCTTGTTAGTGGCTTGTATAGCCCACCTCCACCGCTGTCCCGAGAACGGGTGGCTTGAAGGGGGTGATGGTGTACGTGATCTCGACGAGATTGGCGGTGCCTTGTTGCAAGCCCATCCTGCGGCACCGTTTTAGCTTGTGAGTCAAAGCAGGCTGGTGAACGCCAAAATGCCTAAAAAGGACATTAGAAATCCGTTGTATTGCTTGGCTGCAAAATGTAGATTAAGTAAAATTCCCCGGCATTTCTCCCATTGGGGCGTCTAGCATCACACTTTGAAGCGAATTGTTTTGTAATGGATTCTTCTTGGTCCCCGGTTATCCATCCAAGCTACTTGTGTCTGATGGACCCTGAAGCGGCCTCGCCCAACACGGAAATACCGCGGCGGGCATCCGAGGGCTGGGAGATGGGAATTTTATTTTATTTTATTCCCATTTTCCCTATCGAGGAGCTGTTCGTCTATCGATAAGTGCCCCTCCATCCAAGCCCCGGTTTATTCCCATCCACCAGATAATTTTTTGTGATGGCTAACAATCCATTGATAGCAACAACACCAGCTCAACCGCCAGAAATCAATAATCATGGGCCGTCCGAAGCGAAACGTCCTCGCTGCCGCGCAAGAGGCGCTGTCGCCGCCTGATGCCCTGCAGCCCACGCAGGTGATTGTGCGCGTCGTCAAGCCCGAGGGCAACAACCTGTACACGTGCGAGATGCCAACCAAAAAGGCCGTCGTCCTCGAGCTCGCCCAGCGCTTTCGCAACACCATCTGGATCAAGCGTGGCGGATACGTCCTGGCCGAGGGATATCCAGTGGGGACGCAGGACAGCAGGGCAATTGGGGAAATCATCAATGTCGTCCGGGACGAGAAACTCTGGCGAAAGCAACCATATTGGTATGATGTGCATCTTTCCCAATCTCTATTTCTATACATGTATTAAACGATTTGCTCCAGGCCAAAAGAATTTGTAAAGACAAGCCAAGATCTCAGCGACGAGGAGAGCGACTCCAACGTAGGAAAGATGCCTCCCAGCGACGACGAGGAAGAGGACGAGGAATAATGAGACAATGCTTTTGCTCGCAACCACCCAGTCGTATTCTTATACCAACACTATAGTTGTTTTGGCTTCGGCGCGCCACGCTGCGGGTTCGACCCTACAAAGGCCATGGCAACCGTCACAGCCAGCACGCTCACCACGACGTTGGAGCTGACAGGAGTGCTGGGGAACACGTTCCAAGCCCATTCTTGCGCCGCCCACAGCGGGACCACGACAAGCAGATTCGGAGAAGCCGTCCACAGGAGGAAGGGCGTCGCCCATGCCAAGTACGCATAGAATTGGTAATGCAGAGATCTGGCAAACAGGAGCCCAATCACATTGGCCGACAACACGGTGGACATGATGTACCTGGGCGTGACGACTCTGTGGGAGATGCTGAGCTCTTCCTGCTCTGTGAAAGGCGACTGGAACTGGAGAACGTAGGGAATCATTCCCAAAAAGGTTCGTTCTTGAATCTTCAGCCACCGGCCTAGGATGAAGATTAGGAGGAAGAGGGCGTGGAATGCCAGTAGCGTGATAGAGAAGCCTCTGCTAAGGAACAATTCCTCGCCGAGCATGCGCCAATTGACTGTCCATTCAAACTTGAACTGCCTCGATAGCTCGAACGCTCGGCCAAGATAACCTCTCCAGTTTGTCGTGACGAACGGAATGGCAAGGAGCAGCTGAACCTGTACCATGAGCCACAGTAACCGCAGCGCCCCTTTGAACCCACGACCCAGGAACAGCACAATGACGACGGCGGGGAGAACGAGTAGCAGTGACATCTTGACGCCAAGACCGATGGTGTACGCCAGAGCACCAACGGTCCAGACTCGTCGCTGGAAGAAGTAGATTGACAGCCACAGGAAGAAGGCCGCAAAGCAGTCGTTGAAGCATCTCAGGACAAAGACGCTGTGAAGCCGCTTTGAAAGAATCAGGAGCGGAAAGATGTACGGGGGGACCTATCACCTTTAGTCACCACTTTCACTGCAAACAAAGACTACACACTTGTCAATGAAGCTCACCTTGGCCTTCCAATAGCACAGCATCACCACCCCCAGCGTAGCCATGTACAAACCGGCAAAGAGCTGCTGCGCCAACAAGATATCCGTACCCTTGTTGGTCAGATAATACAACCCCGTGTAGATATACACATGGGCCGCGGGATACACCAACGGTCCCGTGCCGCCCTCCATCTTGGGATAATCTCTCTCGCCGTGAACAAACTGCGTGACCTGCTCCATGTAGGCAACCCAATCGATTTCCGTATCTAAAAAAAAGGAATCGAAAGTGACAAATTCCACTCGTTAGCCTGGGTTGTTTTTGCATGAGGTTTTCCCTCCCTTTTTGGGGGGGGGGGGGGGGGGGATTTTTCTCTTTTGCTTTTTTCTTTTCCAAAAGGGACCGTACAGTGGTCGACTAACAGGGGATTTTCCAGATAATCAGGCCGCACAGAACAGCGTCCGCGAGCCAGAGGCCCATGGGGATGAATTTCGACAGCGCATGGCGGCCGTGGGCGACGTCGGAGGCGAACTTGATGAGGGAGGCCATGAGAGAAGCCAGTTCCGGGGTGATGAGAGAAGCTCTCGTCCTCTTCTCTTCTCTTCTCTCTATAATCTTTCTTCTTCACCGAGTAAACGAGAGTGAGTGAAATGAGAGAGAACAATTTGGTCCCGAGGTTCGTTGATTAAAGGGACATTGTCGATCCTGTTGGAAAAAAAAATACACGTTGAAACGGCCTTGTTTTGGAGCTTTCGAGGCCCGTTATATGCAACGTGGAGCCTTTTCGCTGGGACGCCCCGGCAAATGCGTATACCCCGCTTATACGCATCGACTCACTCTCCCCCTTTCATGTTGTTCACTTGTGACGAGATGGAATGACGGCTCGTGTAAAAGAGTAAACCAAGCCTCGATAGATATGTAGAGTTGTATACAGCTTTATTGAATAGTAGAGCAACCAAGAATCGCATGAGTGGAAATAATGGGTCAAAACTTAAGCCCATGAAAACACCTTGCCTTCACCACTCACATCCTCCCCATTCCTCTCCCGAATCTCATTCACCAGCTCAACAACCCTCTCCGCACATCCATACGAGCCCTGATACCCCCATCCCGCATGCCCATAATTATGCACAATCGAAGTCTCCCCATCCAAACCCTCCTCCTCAATCCTCACCCCGTTCTTCCTCCACGGCCGCAAACCCACGCCATGTCTAATCACGCTCAGCCCCTCAATCCCCTTCCCCCCCGTCAGCCCCGGCGCAGCTTCTACCGCCCTCTTCATGATGCGAACCGCAATGTTTGGATCGGGCGCAGATTCCCAGTTACCGACGTCGTACGTCCCGCCGAGAACCGTGCCTCCGCCGGCGGCGCGCTGCATGATGTACGATATCTCCGTAGAGCTGTCGTCAGTTCCCGACGTGGCAATCATGGGATGGCACTCGTTCCGCACGAGGACAATCTGCGCACGAGCAGGTGCCATGGTGGTATCCTCGACACCCCCGAGCTTGAGAGACCCCAAGGCCGTAGCGTTGATGATGATGTTTGCCGGCTGGCCGGTGTGACTGAGCGACTTTGCGTCGCGAATGTCCGTCAAGACGACTCTTTTGAACACGACGCCGTTCTTGAGACACTGGCCGACGAGCCATGGGAGGTAGACGGCCGTGTTGATGCACACGCTTGTAAACTCGCATCCCGAATCGTGGCCCGGGATGACTTCGTCTTGGCTCAGTTCGCGGAAATCAGGGAGCACCGATTTGTACCAAGGGTCTGTCGAGAACAGATGGTCGGATAGATGATATCCGGGAGCTTCCGTATCCTTGACTCTTCTATAAACACGGGCTTCTATAAGTTGATCAACCATTAGCAAACAAGTAGTCCCAGGTTGCGCAGTAGTATTTTACTCTGAAAGTGAATTCCCGCTTCGGGAACTTGTTCCGTCAGGCGCTTCAACTCTGGCCAAGTACGACGCTCCCATCGACTATTCTCCTCGTCGGCCATTCTATACGCAACTTCAGATTAATCATCCGAGTCATACGAAAGAATTAAACGATAGCATGATGTATATAAGAGCACACTCACGGAAGCACATTTGCTCCGGCCCAAGGTGAGGCATATTCAACATCATAATCACCCGGCATGTGCTTTGCAACCACGGTGACCTTGTTGGCCTTGCTCCTCGAAAGGAGAAGTGCTGAAGTGAGACCACTCACGCCGGCCCTGCATCAGGATGTCTTTGTCAATGTATGCACACATGTAAGGTAGTTGGAGCTCCAAGTCTCACCCTGCAACGACAATCACGTTCACCATTGCATCAAGAACAAGGCAATCAGAAAGGATGAATGATTTCAAAATGCCAACGCTTCCGTGAGCAATCGTGAGCTCTGATATACCGCAATCTCCCACGATAAAAGAGAATTCACACATCAGCGCATCCTGATAACGTTATGGAGTCGTCGAGCTGCGATTGCGGAGTCGGCGTGACTCCAGCGGATCGCTCCCCGCATTCTAAATCGAACCATGGCTACTACAGTATGTAGACACTTGCAAGACTTAGCATACAAGTTGGATAACGTTTACGTCAAGAATTGAAGAACAATTTGACAAAATCTCCAATTGCCGATTCTTCAGCAATAGCAAGACGAGGCCTCGAATGCTTGTGAAACGCAGCAAAACAACGGGAGCGAGGCTCGGACGCAGCCAGGATGGAATCCCGCGCGAGTAGCTGTCTTGGCGTGTAAGCAGAATGCGAGGATATCAATGCCATGCCCCCTGGCCGTTGGTGAGTCTAAAAAGAGAGAGAGATAGATTCCATCAACTGGAAATTCGCAACTAGCCTCGAAAATTCTTTTCCTTCCAGCTTTTCCGCGGCCAAGGATCTTGCCAGGATCAACTTTGTTGGGTCTCACTCCCGGAACCTCTCTCCAGACATCCGCCCTGATGCTAGAACAAAAGAAGCCTCAAGTTCCAAGCCTGCATAGATTTTAGTGAGCAGATATCGCACTACCAAGTTGCCGAGCACCGTAGTCAAATTGCTTGCCAGAGCGCTGTTGGTTCCCAAGCGTTGGACAGTGGCCAATTCACGCACAGATGACGTTGCCGCGGCGATGGTTTGCACATCCAATTTCACCATGGCGTTTTTTCATTTCAACATGGCTGCCTTCATTCGACAATCCAGCTCTGTGGCAAAGCGAACCGGAAAGCGAGAAAGGATGGTAGCCTTCATTGGAATTGCCGGGTCATGGATTCTTCGCTCTGGACCAATGGAAAGAGTTGCATTGAGAAGGGAGGGTAGGACAAGACCCCTTCAAGAAATCATGCCGTTTCACAACGCAGTTGTCTGCTCACCAGAAGCTGTAGAGTTAATTACGTCTACGAAGCACAGCATCCATCCGAGTACTTGGCATACCATTGATGCGGGTTAACACACTTCTGCAAGACGAGTCTGTCGGAATCAAGCTCGGCACCAAGGAAACGAGACCAAAGGGGGGGAAGGTCTGGTCTGAATGATGAATCACCAATGCCTTTCCCCCCGTCTCATCTGTGCTGCAGACGGGCCTTAGCTCAACTGCTGGTTGATGTGGCGTCGTCGAGGCACACACACAGTTGAGATTAAGTCGGGCCCTAATGAAATGTCCCATCCCGTCCACGTGGTCATCTATCATCCGCCGGGAGGGTTTCAAGACGATTTTTATCTCTCATGTTCTTGCAAAGCGCGTAGGGAGGTTGCAGATGGGATGCTACTCGCCTGAGACTGCCTCATTGTTTGCTATTCACTGCCATCCCCATTAGTGCCAAGGATACCCAAAAGAGGCGAGGGACATTTCATCACCGCAGCTTGTACAACGTGCCTGTACCTGCGTGCGGTGCGTTAATGGCAAATGGAACAGGCCACGGCCACATCGGGATGCGTACGGAGTAGGGTGAGGTACTTGGGCAACGAGAGACGCATGTACCACCAGTCCAGTTGGCAAATCCTTGGGGCTAGGCAAATCTCCCGCCTGGCTGTTCACTGGTTGCACGGCGTTGAGTTGACGGGGGCCGTTGCATTTGCGGCCACTCGCGGTGGCACTGGCCATCTGCCCGAACTACCGTAGCATAGCATCTCGTGCTGGGAATTGCTCGGCCCGGCCTTTCAAGGATTGGCGGAGAGTATCTTGGTTAGGTTGCTTGCATGATGCTTATCCGCAGCCGGCTTTGTACTGGCCAGCGAAGGCTGCTCTAGTCGGATGCGGATGCGGATTCGTACTGATCCCATGTTGCTGGCAAAGTTGAGAGGATTCTGGGCTTCTGAAACCCCCGCGAGCTCGAAGGAAGCGCGCGAAGAGGACGGGCGCGTTGAAAAGCACGGCAGGTCTTGCCACCCACCAGACATGGCAGGACACGGTCAGGGCATGTCCAACGTGTCGTGGTACAGCACGGAGCAATGCAATGGAAGGTCACAGTACCAATGCAGCGATGACTTGTCGCCTGCAAATTGTACGTCGGGCGAGGCTCCAAGGGCCAACACGGCCGTCGGGTAGAAGTACATGTGTGGTCTACCCAAGGAGGTAGATGATGTTCATTCAGCCAGATGTCGACTTGAACAGCCTGCAAGCGAGACGGATCAACATTCGAGAAAAGCAAACAGACGACACAAAGACTACCACTAGCATGAGCTTGTGAGTTAAGCGTACATTGGACTGCACTTGCAGCATTCGCTCAACCTGCTTTGGCGAGCTCTCTTCCAAGGCCACACTTGGCCACGATGACGTCGAGCTCTGGCTAGACCAAATCTCTAGGCTCAGAGATTGACTGTCGATGAGCTTGGCTTGGGTTGCAAGGCTCGCGAGGTTTTATCAAGTCTGCGTGGCTGATCTGCTGGGGGTTGCCAGGCCATGACGCAAAGACCTCCAAGGGATCGAATCGCAGCAGGGAGCTACAGCGGCATCCCTGTCGAAAAAGGAAGCATGCCCTTAACACTGATAATGCCGGCGCCTGTGTGAGTGAGCTGGATGGCACACTGTACGGCCGCGGACGCCACGGACAGCATCCTGGCCTCTCGAGCCTCTGTAGCTGATGAACGGGCTCCCAGCGTGGGGCTCGCTGTCGCGGGTATATTCAATCGCTGGGCGACTCCGTTTGCCCAGACGGCGAGTACATGCAAGGTACAGAGGCAGGATGGTGGTCAGAATGGGATCGAAGACATGCTCATCCGGCACAATCAGCGCTTGCTCGTCTCTCTTGCCTTGCCATTGACTGCAACGCTCTTTCACGTCTTCAGGTAGCCTTCGGGTAGCTGTCTCGGTATCGCAGGTATCAGCAGCCATCTGACGAATACGAAGTCTACTGCGGGGGCAATTCATGGTTCCTCAGCGATACGAAGGCACGCGCATGAGCAATAGACAGACTGGGCATCTCGCAACATGTCCTCCCATGCACGCACATGTAGTCATGCCATAGCGCACACAAGAGCCACGATGGGCACCCGGACGACGACGGAGATGCAGATGGATCGTTTTGTCGTAGACAAGGACACAACTAAGGTAGAGAAGCGCTGTCGGCGGACCACCGGCTCTGCATGGGGACGACCTTGAGAAAAGTCTGGGGCCTGCTCCATTGCGGCGTCGAGGTTTTGCTTGTACGAAGATAGTGCTCGCTGGACTCGCAGGTAGCTCAGTTTGCATCAGCAAGTGGCATTCGGGTTTGACGCCCCCCTGGTCAGTGGTTTAGAGTGCTATTTTTCTTCTTCCATCTTCTGTCTCCCCATGGCAGCCCGTGGAATCAGTTCGGCGAGGGTCGGCCGAGTGATTAGTCGACGTCCATGTCGAAAACGGCTTGCCTCAATACACGTACATGTACGAGTACATGCCCGTCTGTGCGGCGATGCATCGAGTCCCTGTCTGCTCAAATCAAGGCGTCTGAGTGATCGGGATGGCGTCGAGATCGGGCTATTGAGCGTACTCCGTACAGTACTGACGACTCCACCCGGACGGTAGGTACCTGTTCGTCCAAACGTCAGTCAAGCCACCAAGAATGGTGGATCCTGACCAGAGAAGAACATGTCTCACCTAGGGATCGGGAGAAGCAATGCCATGTCTCACAAGCGGAGCGAATGGCGGGACGAGAAGCGCAGCACGCTCGTCACCTGTTTCGCTCGCTACTGTAGCTCTGGCTGCTGGGCCAGGACCTGTGAAATAGGAGAGCAAATTGCAGCGGACGGGCAGCAAATCTCAGCCATGGGCAGTTCCGTGCACCACCATTGCCGCGCACGGGATCGTAAGGGTGTGCTGGAGGTGCTGAAGGGGCTGGGAGATGGAGGCAAGGCAATATGAGGCAACATGAAGACGACATGAGACCTGCGCGGAACTCGGAGTAAGGTGGCTGCCGTTCCCCCCGAGAGGACGTACCTCGTGTACTCGTAGCCTGCGTGCAAGAGGCAGTGGTACAGGTACCTACAAGACATTGATCACATCAATCCAAGTCACGATGTAGGTACAGCACACAGTCCAGTAACAATGACAACCACCCCGCTGGAGCATGTGCTGGAGCATTGATGCGCTGTGCTGTGCTGTAGCATGAAGTGACATCTCAACATGACTTACTGTATTGATTCGAGAGCACCAGACACGAATTGTGGCTGCCCGGTGGCAAGCCGCATCGACTCTGGACTGGCAGAAAAGGTCCACGAGACTCGAGCCATCACACCTCCCGCAGACGATGCTAATAAGCGGCACGCTGTGAATGGTTCGCGATGGGCCATCTGATTCCCTTTTTTATTTCTGATGCATGCTAGTGGCAGAAAATACTCGATTTTGCCAGAGCCATTGGCAAACCAAGGCCGGGCATGACCGGGCTGTTATTAGCCACTCACTTTGGCCACTGCAAGTACCTGTACCGGCCATTGCAGACAGGAATCGGCCGCGACATTTGGCTGCTGGGATGTATCGGGACTTGAGTTGACGCGTCCCGGGTACGACAGCACGGCGCAGCAGAGCACAGCAAAGGCCAAGCAAGGCCACGACAACGGCCAACGTATGTAGCTATCAATATCTATTCTAGTCTATTGGCACATGTCCGCTGCCTGATGGTGGTGTTGGTTTTACAACTCACCGGCCTACGCAAGCATTGAGGCATTGAGGCTGTCAATGGGCAGCCCGGCAACTGCATGTAAGCTCTATTCTGGTAGCCCGGCCGCTGTCAGAAGTCGTTCAGCTACAAGCAAAGACGGCGCGGGTAGGGCAGAGACTGGCGGTCCGCCCGCACTGTAAACTGGCCCCTCGACCCCTCTAAGCCCTGGTTGCTCGAGGCTCTAGGGGAATTGAGGGGGG